CTAGTGAGATCGAGAAAGCAGACCAAAATTACCACTTTGTTCAGATTTGATGAATCTTTCTTTTGCAATAAACACAAAAACTTTCAAACCCAAAAAGCTTAACAGAGAAAGTATATTACTAGGAAACCTAAAAACGCAATTCGAACACGAATCAAATGACTAGTTCAGCTGTTGAAGATAATCCGAAACAAAATTTATGGAAGAAGCAGTGACACTAAGCAACATATGGACAACTAGTAGGGAGATGAAATCAATTTCAAAAAAAAAAAAGAGAGAAACTTTACGGAATCAATGACGTTAATAGCTTCCTGAGCAGCTTGGTATTCGCGTCCACCATCGCAAGAGATGAAGAAACCTTGAACGCCTGGCTTCAAAGGGTAAGATCCCTTCTTCTTCACTGGTCTCTGCTACAACAATTTAGACGAAGAAAATTAAACACAGAGAATAATTATCAGCTGATCCAAAGATAAACGTAGTGTGTGAAGATTACGTTTTGAGGGCGATAATGCTGTTTTCTCTTCTTGCTCTGGTCACCGGAAGCCATCGTCGGAGAGAGAGAGAGAGAACGAGAGGTTTTGGCGGAGTTGAGCTAAAGTAAACACAGTGACAATTAGTAGGTCATGCCGTAATGGGCCTATTGGGCTTGGTCTTGACCCATTTAGCCAAAAACTCTCGTTAACTTTTAGGCTTGGTGTGCATGTTTTTTTTTTTTTTTTTTTGGGTAAACAACATGTTTTCAAGTTAATAATACGTATACAGTAACACTAAAGAAAGAGTGAAATCCAATGATGCTGATTTATTATTAACTTTACATGATGACATCGAAACCTTTAAGAGTTAAGAGATCATTGTAGCGATGCGTTGCTGACCAAAGAAACAAAACTCACAAGTCACATCATTGAACGACGCTTTCTTATTAATTAGGACTATGAAAAATGAGATCTCTAAAAATCTAAAATATTTGACAATACGTTTAACTACTATTATTTCCAACACATTGGACCGACCCTTACATTTTTTTTCTGACTCCAATATTTATAGATACTACAAAAGCATTGAAAAAGCTTCTAAACACACAACATTTTTGTTTTTTTGACGAAACAAAGATATATCCACAGTCTTATGGATTAATATGCCCGGTGCGCCTTAGAGTAACCCTCTTTCGCATAGAGAAGCTTTCATCGCTTTCAGTGATTCTTCCATATCATCACAAATCCTGTGAGGGTCCGGTATGACGGTAGGATCATACGCCAACGAAATTATCATTTTATCCGCATAACTCATTAAATGTATCAACATTGCCTATAAACACACAAAAACACTAAATTTTTCACACCAGGAAAAAAAAGCTTATCATTTTTTAATTACGCATAAAAAGAATTAAGTACGTACATGTGAGTGTCCGTAAGAACTTGGAGCGATGTAAGAGACAGGATGGCCACGGAAACTGATTTCTTCCATGGGGCCAATCACGTTTGAAACACATGTCGTTGTGTTCCTCACCGGTCGATCAAATAATTCTGCTGCTGCCTATAATGACAAGATAGTGTGTTAGTATATACATATTGTCCAAATTTTGCAAACAAATCTTAAAATTTATTTACCTTGGCGCCAAACACTTTTAGGACGATTTTGATGATAAAATACACTAGAGCCGCGTGATAAGAGTGCTTCTTTCGAGCCATCATGGATTTGGACATTTTTAGATAAACCAATGGATCGGTTTGTAAACCGATGGTGAACGGCAAAAAAATAAAGCTGAAGTAGTTTCCCCATCTGCATTTTGAATCCTTGACCATCATATCTGCCAAAGGCTTTATACCAAAATAAAAATTAAATATTTTTTTGTCGACAATTACTAAAGAGTTTAGATTTAAATTTGAGGTGTATGTCTCTAACCTTGAACCCGATGTCTGACCTTAGATTTACTGTACAAGCAACACGAAATCGTATTCCATCAGGAAGATTGTTCTGATACGATGTCAATGCTCCATGCTCCTCCTTCTTCTTGTCTTGTTTGTCAAGAAACAAAATGTAATGTGAAAACATTAGATATAGATCTAACATGCAAAATAAATTCATTGTATTAGAATTAACTGATGAGGGTCAGGATATTATCTAGTATAGGTTGACTTTTATTAGCTTTGATATATAATAGTACATGATAGATATTGAATTTAATGTTTACCATATTGTCGGTTCAAATAGTGAGAAAGAGAGGCTTGTGTAATTCCAAGTAGAACATCGTTGATAGTCTAGAAGCAAACACAAGAGAAAGCAAAGATCCATATTTAAAAAAAAAAAAAAAAAAAACCTGAAGTTAGCTAGTTATGGACATAAATGATAGCGTACCATGTTCATAGCGTTCTTGATTAGTTTAATGTCATCTAAAGAGATAATTCGGTGATAAAATCTCTTTGGATTGTTTCTGACATCCGCCCCACCTTTTAGTGGCGTTTTTGTATCCTTCAAAAACAACACAGTCGCCAAAAGCAACAACATATCTATAGTTGTATTCCAAAGCAGTCTCATTGTAGAACCCATGGTGAATATAGATCTCAAGAACCAGCCTTTGGTTTTAAGGCTGTGCGACATCGTGGCTCGCCGTTTCATGGGAGGAATAGCATTTGAAAACATGTCTGGGTCTGATGTTTTATGGGTACATGCAAGCATGAGGGAAATCAAGGACATTCCATCTCCCAACGAATGGTGAGATCTTATAAAACTAACTGCTTCAGCATCTGAGGTTTTGACGTTAAGGATGTGAATGTCCCACAAGGGTCTTGATCTATCCAGAGGAATCATCGTGAGACGTGACATATAATCATCGATGAAGCTTTGTCCACCTTCACCTATCTCTTCTGGGTCTATGTATGGTACAATTACATGATCTTCTACATTAACTTCGGTCTCGATCCATTTTGCACCATTATCAGACTGTGAAGTCAAGACAAATGGAAACCAAACACTACGTCAAATAACAAATAGGACATAATTAAGTATAGTTCTCAAGTCTATAAAAACACGGTCATGTCAAACTATTTAGAGATTCCGTACAAATTTTATTAAACATATATAATAAAAACTAAATGGGCTGAAATTTATTTGATTAATTTTCAAAATCTTATTCTTTAGAAAGTAAAATTTAAATCGGGTATCGAAAACAACTGTGTAAGAAGTAAGAACGTGTGTGTATATATATGTATAAGGGTACCAGTATGCTGGAGAAACGAGGATGCTTGGAGACATTTTGCTTCAAGGCATCAAGAACAACGTCGGGGTTAATCTTGGTTTTGAAACCCATGATGGTCACGGCACATAAGTCTATGCCCGGCGATTGGAATACACGCGCCATCGGGCTAAGCGGCTCCTCCTCCCCATTAGTCATGATTCTCCCTTTCCCCTTTTTAGATGTCTTTTCTTCTCTCAGGTTCCAATGTTATTTATAACGTACGTTAAGTTTGTAAGTAGTTCAACGACAACAAAAGAATACAAGTGGACATGGAAAAGTATTAGTATTTTTTGTCACAACAACAAAATTACATTTAATGTGATGTTGATATTTACGACCAGCTTCTATTAACAATGACAGAAAAAAAAAATGTGTGGCGTCGGAAAGTAAAATACTATTGTCGCTCACTATGCAATTATATTTAGGCTTTGAATGGTTAGTCCATATGATGTAGACTAGACACTGCATACCAATATTTTAGTATGCAAAACATCATATTGTAGTCTGGAGTAGACAATTGTATGTTGGTATGGAGTTTATGATGGTATGGAGCTTTTGGGGAGTGGACTGAAAAAATGCGGACTAACAGTGAATTTATGATGGTATGGAGTTGTATGCTCAAGTGCATACCAGTATGGAGATTTTTAGTATGCAATAGTGAATGGTAAATTAAGTGCGTACTAGTCCGGTTTTAATCTGGTCTGCAGCATACTAGACAACCATTCAAAGCCTTAGTTGTTTCAAACATTGGTTTGGAGTTTATAGGAGTAGGGCTTGAGTGGTTGTGTAGGTTCACATTTGTCCACATGTTTTAATGTGGTCGAAGTTGAAGATAAATATTTATATTTACAACACCAATCATTAATCAAATTATGGATTGGAGTTGTTGAGAAGTTATATTTTTTTCCCTATTTTCATTATGCATTGATTATATGTTATCTAGTTTAGTTTTTTCTTTTCTTTTTCACCGAGACAATGTAATATATGGATTTGAATCTAGATATTGTATAACGACGATACTAGCACAAACTACTGAACTACAAATCTTCGTCTGTTGTATGGTTAAGTTTTAATGGATACAATTCACACAAACTTTTTATCCAATCCCCAAATGTTCATACATTTTTAAAAAGCTTAGCTTCCACATTACGCGTGCATTTTTAAATGAACATCATTTGTCGTTAATCACAACGCTGTAGGAATATTAAGAAATCAAAACCACTTTTGTCTCGTCTGCATATGAGAAAACAAAACAAAATAGAATCAAATCACATCTTCACACATATATATACACACAATACCATCTCTATCAAGAATAGGTGAGAAAAAGTAACTACCATTTATATACTGAAAGAATCTTATCACCTAAAAATGAGGCGTTTGTCTATAATAAAACACAAAGCGTTTTGCAAAGAAAAAACAAAGAGAGGGGATTGACCCAACCACTCAAAATGGTAGATTAACGATCCAGCTAGGTAATCTATAAAGTCTAGATTACTTTTATATCCTCCTAAATGGCTAAAACCCAAAACTTCCAGCAAACCCCACGAAGCGGACGTTTGGTTGATCTGCCAACCAATTAAGTTTAAAATCATTTATGTGTTTGGTTAGAAAAATTGAAATTCCACTAAAGAAAGTCATATCTCTCTTATGTCAGACTTCTAATTTGATTTTTTCTTTTCGAGTTTGGTTTGAAATTATGGTTTCATTTATCTCCGTATTTATTTTCTAACTTGGAATATTTTTATACTAGTTATTTTTGGTCAAGAATTGAAAAAAGCTTTTACTAATAATATGAACACAAAGTGAGGCCTAAATTTGTTCTATGCATTAGACAAAATTGAACTCAAGCAATAACATATTAACAACATTAGCACAAACTTAATGAGATTTTCTTCAATAACTAGGATCGACCTGATATTATTCAACTCCAATATTTGTATATAGTACAAAAGCATTTAAAGCTTCTAAAAACATAACATTTTAGAATTTAGACCAAACAAAATATATCTTGATCAGTCTCCGGATTATAAAGGGCCTTATAGTAACCCTCTTTCACAAAGAACAGTTTTCATTGCTTTCAGTGATTCTTCCATATCATCACAAATCTTGTGAGGATCTGGTATGACAGTAGGATCAACCGCCATCGAGATTATCATCTTCTCCGCATAACTTATGAAATGCACCAGCAATGCCTATAAAACACAAAAACAGATGTGTGGGAAGATCTTTTTTCTTAGAAAAAGCTTATTATTCATTAAATTAAGCAACAAAAATATTATGTACATGTGAGTGTCCGTAAGAGCTTGGAGCGATGTAAGCCATAGGATGGCCACGAAAACTGATTTCTTCCATGGGGCCAATGACGTTTGAAACGCATGTCGTTGTGTTCCTCACCGGTCGATCAAATAATTCTGCTGCTGCCTACAATAACAAGAGAGTGTGTTATATATATATAGTCCAAAATTTTGCAAACAAATCTCAATTTTCTTTTACCTTGGCGCCAAACACTTTTAGAACGATTTTGATGATAAAATATACAATAGCCGCGTGATAAGAGTGCTTCTTTCGAGCCATCATGGATTTTGACATGTTTAGATAAACCAATGGATCGGTTTGTAACCCGATGGTGAACGGCAAAAAAATAAAGCTGAAGTAGTTTCCCCATTTGCATTTTGAATCCTTAACCATCATATCTGCCAAAGGCTTTATACAAAGAAGTATGTATATACATATTGTTTGTTGACGGTAAAGAGTTTAGATTGAAATTTGAGGTTTATGTCTCTAACCTTGAAGCCGATGTCTGACCTTAGATTTACTGTACAAGCTACACGAAATCGTATACCATCAGGAAGATTGTTCTGACACGATGTCAATGATCCTCCATCCTCCTCCTTCTTCTTGTCTTGTTTGTCAAGAAACAAGATAATTAGTTGAAAACATTATATATAGATCGAACATGCATATTCTTAGGGTTAGGATATTAACCAAGTCAATAGTTAAAATCTTAATTAATACATCATATGTATAAATATTGAATTTGATCTTTACCATATTTTCGGTTCAAATACTGAGAAAGAGAGGCTTGTGTGATTCCAAATATAACATCGTTGATAGTCTAACGCAAGAAAAAGAAAATATCCATTAAAAGGAAAAGCGAAACTCTCAAGTTAGTCTTGAAGATAAATCATAACGTACCATGTTCATAGCGTTCTTTATAAGCTTAATATCATCCAAAGATACAATTCGGTGATAAAATCTCTTCGGATTGCTCTTGACATTCACGCCGCCTTTTAGAGGTGTTTTTGTATCCTTCAAAAACAGTATAGTCGCAAAAAGCAGCAACACATCTACAATTGTATTCCAAAGCAATGTCATTGTAGAACCAATGGTGAATATCGACCTTAAGAACCAGCCTTTCTTTCTAAGGCTATGCAACACCGCGCCTTGCCGTTTCATGGGTGGAATAGCAATAGAAGACGTGCTCGGATCTGATGTTTTTTGAGTACATGCGAGTAATAGGGAACATAAGGACGACATTCCATCTCCCAATGAATGGTGAGATCTTATAAAGCTGACTGCTTCAGCATCTGAAGTTTTGACGTTAAGGATGTGAATGTCCCACAAGGGTCTTGATCTATCAAGAGGAGTCATCGTGAGACGTGACATATAATCATCAATGAAGCTTTGTCCACCTTCACCTATCTCTTCTGGGTCTATGTATGGTACAATTACATGATCTTCTACATTAACTTCTGTCTCGATCCATTTTGCACCATTATCCGACTGTAAAGTTAAGACAAATGGAAACCAAACACTATGTCAAGTCACAATTAGGATATAAGTACAGTTCTTATATCTATAAAAACATGACCATCTCAAACTAGCTAGAGATTCCATACAAATATTTATCAAACATATAAAAAGGTGACATTAATATGATTAATATTGAAAATTTTATTCTATAGGAAGTAAATTTTAAATCGGGTATTGAAAACAACTATGATATATGAACGTGTGTGTATAAATGTATAAGGGTACCAGTATGCTGGAGAAACGAGGATGCTTGGAGACATTTTGCTTCAAGGCATCAAGAACAACGTCCGGATTAATCTTGGTTTTGAAACCCATGATGGTGACGGCACATAAGTCTATGCCCGGCGATTGGAATACACGCGCCATCGGGCTAAGCGGCTCCTCCTCCCCATTAGTCATTCTCCCTTTCCCCCTTGTAGATGTCCTTTCTTCTCTCATGTTCCAATGTTACTTATAATTAAGTTCGTAAGTGGTTCAAGGACAACAAAAGAATACAAGTGGCCATGGAAAATATAATTTGTCGGGAAATTTTTTTGTTACAAATTAAGTGATGTTATTAAAATTTTATTGTTTTTGGTATTAAAATTTTACAAAAGAAAACAATATGGAATCAACTCACATTTCACATATATTTTTATCATCCAATCTCTATCAATAATATGTGAGAGAAAACAACTACCATTTTATAAATGAGTACCATTTGATGTTATCTATATATTGTAAGAATCTTATCACCTAAAAGGCTAAAAGAGAGGCGTTTCTCTAATAAAACACAAAACGTTTCAAAAGAAGAAAACTAATACTAATAAAAGAGGGATTGACCCAACCACTCAAAATGGTTGATTAACGATCCAGCTAGGTAATCTTGAAAGTCTAGATTACTTTTATCTTCTCCTAAAAGGCTAAACCCCAAAACTTCCAGCAAACCCACGAAGCGGTCGTTCGGTTTATCTGCCAACCAGTTAAGGTTTTAGAATGAGATATGTTAAAATCTAAATTTTCTTCAATAATTAGAACCGGCCTGATATTATTCTGACTCCAGTATTTTTATGTATTACAAAAGCATTTAAAGCTTCTAAAAACATAACATTTTAGACCAAACAAAAGATATCTGCAGTCTCCGGATTGTAATGGGCCTTAGAGTAACCCTCTTTCCCAGAGAACACTTTTCATCGCTTTCAGTGATTCTTCCATATCATCACAAATCTTTTTCAATCAACTCTTAAAAATCTTTTTCAATCAACTGTTAAAATGAATTATCATAAGTGATTCTTCTATACCTTCACTCTGTATATAATATGATTTTTACAAACATTCAAACATCATATATTTTTCATAAAGCAAAATCAAATTTAAATGACTTTTTCCAAAAATCAATGAATTGAGACAATCTACAATCAAAAGGGTTAAAAACAAGAGAGACCACACATCGTCTTTTTTCACGACCCCAAGAAACATAAACAGAAAAAAAAAAAAAAAACTTTATATGTATGTCTCCTTCAATCATCCACTCTACGTTCCCTGTGACCTGTACAATGTTTCTTCACATGGAGAACAACGTAGAAGTCTATACCTCACGAACAAAACGAGTATACAATAGAGAGACTCCTTTTTCCCCATTACTTGCGTAAATTTCCGGCATCTCAAGTCTTTCAAGTTTATCGTGTGATGTGTATCTTCTTGCACGAATCTGACCATCTGATAATACTATCCGTGCCTTACCGGCCTGAGTATTTGCAGGAGTACTCAACTTAGCTGCTGAGGAATTTGGTAAACGATACCTTCGAGATGATTACAGTTACAACGGGTATCTGTTTGATCGGTTTGGATCAAACCACCTCGGAGCTGATGGGTCTTTACGTGAACTCCAGCCTTCCCTCCAGTTTCTTCTACTGCTGTGGAATGGATAATTATCAGTGTCTGCTCCAGATGTGCTGCTTCCGTCACGTCTCTTTTGCGAATTATGCATCTCTTCTTCAAGATCATACTGAGAACGCTGCAAAAGCACCATAACATAAAAACTAAATATAATATAGGAAACTCTAGGGGTGCACAAATCCTTGAGAAGAAAAACAAATGTCATATTCATTGAAAACTTTTATCACCTTTCTTGGTCCATAGAAAAATATTTTCTCCTAGAGAAAGTAAAAACAGAGCTGAAGATGTTATCAGTTCAGATAATTTACCTTTGCAGGGTCTGAGAGCACAGCATACGCTTCCCCAATCATTTTAAATAATTTATCGGTATCTTTGCGCACTTCTTCTCCTATCTCCTTCCATAACCTCTCATCTTTAGTCTCGTTTCTTGTCAAAGACTGACCAGCCTTCAAATAGTGAAAACAAGATAAAAACAATTTTATGAACTTATTATCGTCTGCAGCTCTTTGCTTTCTGCATTTAAATTGATTCTAGCTGAATCCAGAAGCATGCAAAGTTGACAATTTCTATTAAATACCTTGTCGGGATGATGTTTGAGTGCGGCCTTCCTATACGCCTTTCTGATATCTGAAGCCGAGCATGATGGTACAACACCCCTGCCACAAAGTAAGTCCCATTCTGATTAGCAAGCTTTGAGACAATAATCACATCCATGCCACAAGGTTCTTCCTCATAGTCACCCAAATTTCCATGAAAAATCCATTCACCCGCAAAAAGCAGAATGACAAAGGAACAACAGATAAGTGCAGTCTAAACCTAGGTCTTTTCTAAAGGAAATGAGAATTTGGCATGCTTGTTGTGGAAAAAATGCAATGTTTCAATTAATATAAGAACTAGAAAACATAACGCAGCCATTAGTAGGATAAATATAACTTAGCAGGATAGTCTACTTACAAGACGAGGTACATATCCAATGAATTTTCTTTCCTTGATTTCTCTTCCAGTTCAGAAAGTCGTATACGAGCTTGCCTTATGTCATTGGCCATACTAGTAGATCTGTCAAGAATTCCAGAGGTCTTCTCTTCCATTTGCTTGGTTAGAATATTAACATATCTCTCCATATCACTTGCTGCCTGTCCATAATCCCTAATCATCTCGAACAACGTGGCCCGTCTAGAAATAGCCTGACAATAAAGAAAAGGTTAAACAAAATTAAGTGACACAATAGAGTACTTTTTCAGCCAATCAGACAGAAAAGTAGCCTTGAATCATACGAGAATTGCTGCCGAATCTTTAATGTTGTAGCTTATGCATTTGAAACGTAAACAGAAACACTGAAATACAGCTGGACTGAAACCAATTTACTTTTAAGAGAAATTATTACCCAACGTTCAAAATCCAGTTTTATATTAAAACGTTGAAACTTGAAACCTTTCAACTACATTCCGTGGAAACCAGAAAACAAAAGAAACCAAATAATGATATATGTTAGTATTGAAACCTTTGAGTAATTTTGGTCAAGAGCAATAGCAAGGCTGCAGTCTGCAATAGCGTCAGAAAATTGACCAAGAGCCTTATATGCAGCAGCACGATTACAGAAACACACAGCTGTAAAAGGACGTGATTCCACATTGCAAGCCAGGGCTGCTGTGTAATGTTCAACTGCTTCAGTGTGTCGTCCAGACTGAAAGGCTTCATTCCCTGCCGACTGTGATTTGGTAGGAACATCAAAACGGCACGAAAAATGAGTAAACAGCACAACTAATGTGTACTCCGTTTTTTTTTTTTAATCTATTTTATAATTCCTTTAGTAGTACAGGTAATTCACAGGCAGTAAGATTCTGAAAACGAAGTGTAGGTTCAGAGCAATAGACAGTCGCAGAAGAAGGCAATACCTTAAGGCGCAACAACTCACGTATAGTAGCAGCCAACGGAATGGAGGATTCAAGATTTTTGTTTCCTTCTCTGTATCGAGTAAGTAACAGACAAACGAGACCTGTCAGATTTCGGCTCATCTGAGAAAAAGAAACGTAGAAGTTGCAATCTAAATCACCTTTTTGTAGCAGATAGTATTTGTTCTTGCTTCTCTAGAGAAGCAATCGCCTCCTCAAGCTTTCCCATATAGAAATTTGATTTAAGCATGAGATGACACTGCCAAATTCTAAAGTTTATGTCCTTGGGAGTGTCATGAGAATCTGGAGGAGAATTCTTTCCAGCCAAATCAACTGTCTGCTCACAAAGCTTTATTGCTGCTTCATACTTCTCAAGCTGTCATCAAATAAATAAAATAAACAGGTTTCTTGATCTGTTCCAGTAAGAAGTTTTTGATTTCCTACTCACAGTTATCAGAAGGTTTAAAATTAACACTTTCATACCATCAAGAGCGCCTCTCCCTTCATGGTGAGTAACTTTTCAGAGTATGAACTTATCAAAAGAGATTCTTCCAATATTTCCAAAGCTCTTTCAACATCAGTTGATGTTCTAAGTTGCAAACGACGGCCAGCTTCATGCATGCATTCGGAAACTCTCTGCAAGACACAGACACTATTGATTTGTCAAAAAGAAGAACGTGTGATCGTCAATCTTCAGAATATGTAGAAAATATTAACTCATATGAATAATAGTAAAGAGAGACTCTGGAAATATATCAAATTCTGTACATAGCGACTGAAAAGATGGTCAAACTCTATCAAATAGAAAGCAGTAACTAAAACAGCATAGCATTAAGTAATTTTATCGCCACACATCTCAACGGAAAACATCAGCCATACAATTAGTACGGCTCAGTCTAAATCCTAAATCAACTAATAATAATACAAGATCCACTTCACAGAATAAGGCCATGGGAAAAATAACTGTGCAACATGTGTCCTGTTCTCATGTGCTACAATATCCATAATCTATAAGAGTTTACAAAGAACACTGTGTCCCTTTAAAAGAAGAGAGAGAACTCTACCTGTGCCTTTTGTAGACCTTCAGAAGCCTCTACAATAATTTTACGGTCCACACAAATTTCACTTCCTGATTGCAAGCAGTTTTTGAAATACCTGGATGCATCTTCAATCTCCCCAAGTGAAAGGTAACAACTAGCAAGACAAAAAGCCAAAATCAGCCAATAAGACATCATAAAATGGTAAGCTATTATTACTTATTGCTAGCTGAGGAAGAGCAGGAATTAGCATGGTATCGAGGACAACTCCAGCTTAGAGCATAAATGAGAAAAGATCACATACATTCATTTCCAGTTCAAGCTCTCGTATCAAGACTAAAAGTCACTAATAAGACTTTTTATCACGGCTCATTAGAAACTATAAGAAGTATTAAGGACGGTCGATATTTACTTTCCAGCTCTGACTTGAACTTTAAGGAAGTTGGGGTCTATTGAAGAAGCCATCGTACAATCTGCTATTGCTTCTCTCATTCTTCCAAGGGCCATGCGTGTTGCAGCACGGTTGCTGTAGCAAAGCATCAATGCCCTGAGACAGTTTCTAGAAGTTTCGATTCTAGGCACTGAATCAATCCCTTGAGTGTAAGATTCCTCAGCTCTGGAAAGATCCCCAATTTTATAAGCATTGTTTCCTCTGGAGAAAAGGCATTAAAGAAAAGGTAAATTAAATATTAGGACAGAAATTAATGAAGCAACAATAACAACTAGACATTCAGAACACTACAGGAACAATAAGTAGAAAATTTAAACGGTATGGAAATAGCCGACTTGTAAACAACCTTAATCGCCACTTTTCACATGCTTCTTGCGCTACATTAGACACATCTTTTTCGATTCGTGCTTTGTCCATCACAGAACTATTAATAGGCTTGTGTAGACGAGTAAGCGGATCCCTTTCACTGGGTTTCCCAGTGGACAAGTGTGACTGCACACCAGTTAACGGAGAATGTTGTGAAGATTTTAATGGTATTGCATTTGGAATTAGGATATATGGATCCTGCCCAAGTTTAATCGGGTTTTTCTTCCTATTAATACGCTTTGAAGTTGATAGTTGCCCCTGCACTCCCGAAAATGATGAAGCAGAAAAGGTAAAGCTGGAGCTAGCAGCATCTGTATTAGATTGGGAATGGTCATCATTTTGTTTCCTATCAGACTTATATCGTGAAGTAACCTCACTTTCTGAAGCTGTAGCAAAAGTTTCACTACTAGTTTCCATCTCTTCCGCTGCTGATTTAAAACTTTCAGTTTCAGCTCCAGATATAGAATCTTCAGCAAGGTCTTCATGATCGGCACAGTTCCCAGTATTAAATTCTTTAGCTTGATAGTTATTAACTTCATCCCCCTCATTAATTTCCATCCGCTCGGTTGCAGCAACTAGGTCTGCATCAAACAAATCATTTGGAGCAGTAGGTGGTATATCAGCAGAAAAGTCTCCACAATCTTCTGTGACCTCATATGGAGAAATATCCATCGGTGAATACGCCTCAGGAGCCTCATTGCTTCCATTTGGAATAGCACTTTCTGCAAAAGCAAACTCACGTCCAATATTTAGCTGCACTTTCACAGGCTGCTTACCCCCTTTCCTTCTCGCTCTCGTGGCACCAACACTGTCCTTCTTCGCATTGAACCCCAATTTCTGGTCCAAACTAGAAAATGGGTTTACTTTCGAAATAGGGGTCTTGAATTCCATAAAACCTGTCCCCCGACTGTCTTGATTACTCACAAAATTAAACTCGGAAGTGTTTACTGAAGAGGACACATCATGAACATTTCTAGCATTCAGATTTTGACTTGGCTCTGTACCTACAAAACTATAGTTCATCGGACATGAACTATTAAAATCATGGACTTTCTTATCATTCACACTTCCCTGAACTGAATCTCCAGAAAGGTTCCCATCAGTAGTCATACTTCCAACACTTAACTTTCTACTCAAATCATCAGATAGTATCTTCTCCCCAACATAATCCATAGACACTTTGGATTTGACGTTATTACTATGTTTCTGATCAGTCACTCTCTCTGAAATATTCAACTTCTCCATACTTTCCTGGATCACATGTCCTGTACTCCTCGAAGAAGAATCAATAGTCAGTTTATTACTTAACAAAGTTGGAAGTTCATCTTCCACAGTTTTACTCGCTGCAAAAACTGAATTGCTTCCCTTCTTTACACCAAAACTAAAGCTAGAATTCAAATTCTGCATATCTTCAGGAAGCTTTGAAGCCTTTCCTTCACTCTCAATTTTCAACTTTTCCATCTCTTCCATAACGCTTTTCCCAATTTCTTCATCAGAGTGCAATTTCCCAACATCAGTTGATCCAAATACAAAACCATCATTGCTGCTCCGTCCAAATCCAATCTCAGCAGGAGTTGGATCACCGGCAAAAGACCCACGGAAGTGAAACGGGTTGAAACTCTGACCCGGTAAAGAATCAGAAGTACCCGAGGGCTTCAAATTCTGAGACTTTACTTGCCTTCTCACCTTGGAGAATCTGGGCTTAGAGAGACCAGAAGATGACCGCGGAAACGGCGCTGAATTGAAACTCGCGTCAGGGTTGTTGCTGCTGCTACGACCCGCACCAGAGAAGGCGGGATTCAAGTCGCCGAACTTGCTCATTGTTTTCTCTTTGATTCCAAAATTGAGGCAAAAGCGAAAATCCTCAAGGAGAGAAGTAAGAGAGGTCAGGTCGGCGACATGGGAGAAAGATAGAAAGTCGTCGAAATCGGAAATGGAAAGAGGATATTGAAGCAGATACGATAGAAAATCAACAAGGGTATTGGCAAATGTTGAATCTTTTTTCAGGAGATGGATCGATAAAGGAGAAGAAGACGAAGAAATCAAGAAACTTTCAAATTAATGGCTGGATTCAAGGAGAAAAATAGGGTCATCGTCCATTGTTGTTGTTACGGAACACAAGAAAGCAAAAAATAAAAAATAAAAATGATTGCTTTGATGTCGCCGTCCTTAGTTCAATTTTCTTCATCTTCCAAAGACTTCTTTCAAGACCTAAACCAACATTTTTTTTCTAATTCAACAAAAAGAACAATCCTTTTTAATGCAAATCTCAACTTTATTTAACTTTACTTTTTTACTCATCTTTTTGGCATTGTTATTTGGGTTTTTAGACACGGGACATCTGTTTCATAGATTTAGATTTTATTACAATGTATGGTTCCTTCCTCACATTGTAATGATAATCTTATCATATACATATTTGTTACTTGCATATGTATGTGTTCTAAAATGCATCATGGGCCGTAGGATGCCATAAAATTTCATGTTATGTGGTGGTTTAAGTGGATAAACAAATTTCTAGACAATCAATGAAGTTTTTCTCAAGTCAAATGAGGTTTAGAAATGCTTTACTTTTTTTTTCTCTAGTTAGATCTATTAAAACTTTATTCATTTCAATGCCGAAGAAAATGATGGTTAGCTACTTGATATTCATATCACATAACTATTTAATTTTGTGTTATCCTCTACTATTCTAATATTCCACAAACATTTTTTTCTGTAAGCACCAATTATATGATTAGAAATTTTCAAAAAATCACTATTATTTGTAACATAAACGTTAAGCCCATATAGTTCAAGGCCTATATGAAACTAGAACTATGAAGTTGAACACTAACTACTATACTACTAAACATGGAAGATATGGTTTAGATATATACAAAAAAATAACATTGTCTAAAGCTATGACTTATATAGATGCACAGAAGGACTCGTAAATACTTAAATATATAAGAAACGGCTTAATGTAAAGTTACAGAACCCTCTAATTCTTCTCGTTACATCAGAGACTCTTGTGGTTTGTTACCCACACAAACCGGAACAACCACATGAGCAACCGATACTAGAAGCAAAGAGATATAAGCAGAAAAAGAAAGTTCCAAAATAGATCGTCTTTTAAGTATGTCTTACGCATCCGTTTGTTAGTAGTATAGTATCACCTGAGGAAACTTGCGATCTTCATACGATATAATCATATCTCCTACGTTCTTTCTGTTCTCCATATATATATAGATATATATATAACTTAGCTATACATATACATCATCCTACTTCCTTGTGTATGCTTGTTTACTTTGTCTGCACACATACAAAACCAAGAACAAGACACGAACATCAGCTTTAAACACTATGAACTCATTCCCGGCGGCTTCAACATTGATAAGAAAGCTTACCTTTATTACATACACTTCGGTAGCCTCATCTTATCCATCAGAAAAAAAACCTGCGTCCAAAATAAGGAATTTTGTTATCCATATATAACTCGAAAGAACAATGGGTACGAGATTAGATAGTAGACTAACCCTTGGCATTTATGAGGTGAAATAGCCTACTGCATCAGATTATTGGTAGTGACTGGTGGTTCATTGTCATTTCCATTAGTAGAGGAGACTCCAACTTTTGCATTAGTTTCAGCAGAATCATCGGTTTTGTGATCATCGGTAGATGATGCAGAAGGGAACAGGTTACTGGGAAGAACAAGCTCTATAGTGCTTCCAGTATCGGGTTCAAGCAATTCAATCTTGTCAGTCTCTTCAATTGCACCGTTTGAGTAATTATTGTTAACACTCATTGGGTTGATTACAGGGTAAGGATGCAGCTCCGAGGTATCATCAACTACTGCCACAACACAAAGTAACAACATTAATGAACAGTTGATCCGCAAGAATACTAACCTTTTTACATTCAAAAATAGCATTGTTCACTTCACCAACCTTCTAAAGCATCTGCAACTGTAAGTTCAGATTGAAAATCAGGGCTTTGGTTGCTGGCAGACGAAAAATAACCAGGAGACCCCACAGAAAAGCTACGGTGATGATTCTGCGTTATACTATTCTTGAACTCAGGAAGCTGCAAATTAATGAAACGTCTTCTTTCAAGTTCAATAGCCCTCAGGAGATCAGCCTGCTCCATTTTCCTTCGCATCATCTCACGTCTCTCATACAACATCTTCGAACCTACTACATATAAACGAAATAAGTTACTTAACAAAATATGGAGAAAGTAACACCAAAAAAATCTTAACTGGTCTTCCAAAATAAATGAAAAAGGATACTAACCAAGGTGGAAATCAGACTGTTCTCTAGGATCAATCCCAGATGGACTGGAGCACGGAGAGTAATTTCTCCGCTCAATCTGCTGTTGCAGCAGTTGCTGTTGCTTCCTATTATCATTTCATTTACAATGACACATTGAAACCCAAAGAAGAAAAACTAGAAAGGAATTTGATGAGAAGAAAAAAACAAAAAACACCATACTTGTCCAAGACTTTGCCTTTTTCTTTGTAAGGTTTGACAAGCACCCGTGAGTCGCAAATGAAATGGGGATTCCCTCTAGCTAGTACAACTTTCACTGTCTCAGGATGAGCAAATGAAACAAAGCCAAACATACGCTTCTGCTGGTATGGGATCCGCACATCTTGCACTATTCCAAAAAGGCTTCATAGACAAAACAATCAATAATGTTAGTTTCTCAAAACGCCACATCCATGAATTTTCAGACATCAATTAACCAAAAAAAACCTGATTAATCAATACTACTTATTTGCTTATTCTTCCATATAAGTCTACAAGAACCAGCACTTGTTTGACAGAGATGGTTCATGGTTGTCCAGTAATACCTGAAATATGTAGCAACATCCTCATCCTTAAACGTGCTGTCAGCTGGGAATGTCAAGTAAATCTGTCTAGATGCGGAGTTTGACTGATCACCTAAATGCATTGCCATTAGTTCCATCCTCTCAAGCCGTCCTGGGCTGCTGCTCCAAAATCTTTCATCACCAAAAGGCAGTCCACCATCTCTGCATCGACAGAAAGCATTAATAACTGAAGAAATAACAAGATAACAACCATAAAACCCGTCCAAGATACAAAGTCTCATCCACGAAACTAAAGCTGAAAAATTGCTGATAAAACAACCAAGAAAGCGCCATGCAACACAAGGAAGACAAAGCAAAACGAATCAGACAATTAACAGAAATGCCAAGGACAATACATAAAAATATGTAGGTTCATTTCTGCAAGCTATATCAGGACCAATTCAGGCTATAGTAAAACATACTATCTGGGATTCGTTCTATATTACCTTTGAGCATGCTGCTGCAAGAGAAAGTCCATTCTTTTCTCGTACGGCAACTGGGGAGCCCTACCCAGGATTTGAGAAGCCAACCTCTGCTGCTGATAAGCCAATTTCAACCTCATCATCTCCTCGTGCTGCCTAACAAAGTTCTCCATTTTCCTAGGCGAGTCAGCGACAATGCCATTACCATCCATATTATCCGGATACCCACCATGGATAAACTTGCAACTTTCTCCATTCTTGCACAAACCTCGACTAAAATACACACATGGTTTGCATCCAGAACCAAATCCATCATCTCCGGACCCAAAAGACGCATCTGCCGAGAAACTCCTCCTGTGCAGATGGGTTTCGCCATCGTCAACAGAGTAGTCCAAAGGAATCCTGGGATCCACAAGATCCTCGGTTTTAGAACAGGAATCGTCGAGAAACGAAAGGTAATCATTAAGCTGCTGATCATCCAGTAAATCAGCATTACCACCAGCGTCAGCACTACCAGAATCTGTAGCAGAAACTCCATTGCTTTGGTGAGAGCTAAAGGGTTTCGAGATCGGAGTGTGTTTAGGGGAAATGTGGGGGTTATTCCCATTAATAGGGTTCATAGAGTTGTTGAGTGACCAAGGAGAGGTAGAAGAAGGAGAAGATGGAGAGTTTCTACGGAAATCCATAAACCCATTAGAGTGAGAGCTTCCTCTACCGTTAATAGGTGGTCGAGAGATAGGGTTCAACGGAGAAGGAGACGTCGGAGTAGAAGACGGCGAGTTGTTGGAGAAAATCCCCAAGTGACTCTTCACTTTCGAAATAATCGACTGCAAAATCGATTCAGGTCCACGAGCCAGATGCATCAAGTCTCTATCACCAAAATCCTGTAAAAGCAAATACCCAATAATCTTCGGAGCATAATCTGGCTCCAAGCTTCGGATTTTCGTCAAAAGCAAAGCTGTCGCGTCACCGGATTCCATGGTTAAAGGTTACACCTTTCTTCTTCCTCAGTTGATAAAAACACAAACTTTGATTTAGGGTTTCAAAAGATTAGAGATTTAGAATAGAAAAATCTTCAAAGTAGATAAGAGAAGAGGGAAGAAGATCCTCTCCCTCCTCTTCGCTCTCTTCTGTTTTGATTTTTTTTTTTTTTTTTTTGAATCTCACAGTCTCTCTCTCACTTACTCACTCCTATCTTTATCGCTCCAGTTGGTGCTCTCTCCTTACTGGTAAAGACCACTTGGGGAAATGTTCTTCTTTTATTATTTTTATTCAACTTTCTAGGAAACTGTAATTCCCCATAATTTTTTATTTTTATTATTTTGATGCTCTTGCTTAATTTATACAGACTCTGTTTAATAATATATGGATTGTTTTTCTTATATGAACAAGATTATTAGGTTTGACGAGTAATAATGGATATCTTTTAAAGATTCAATTCTAGGTTGGATTTTTATTTTGACGTCTTCTAGATCAAAATCATCAAATCAATTAAAGTGGGATTAACAAATAATTTGCTGTCGATATTATTAAACACCTCAGCATACACTGAATATTCAATTCTCATTTTGTCCTATATGGGAAGCCACATATTTTATCAGTAAAAAAAAGGAATTTACATTTATTAAGATTGCATAAGATTTTTTTGGTACTTGTATTCCTTGTTTCGTAATTTAATCTAGTAATTTAATCGGTTATAATGGAAAATTGTGATGCCTTTTTCAATGATGGAGAATATATTTGTTTTTAAGGAAAAAAGGGTAAAAATTTTAAGAAATAAAATATTTTTTAGATTTTATGATAAAAAATCTACAGGTACTGTTAAATCAGTGTCAGAGAGATAGAGAGAGCGCGTGTGGATGCCAACTTTTTAGCCTTTTTACAGGCGGTGTGTTTCACGCTCGCGCGTGAGATTAAATCTCTTTTTTTTCTCTGTTTTAAGGAATCTTACGAGCACCGATTTTTTCACTGCTCCGTTAACGTTAAATTTAATTTTTTGTATGCATATGATTAATCGATAGTATGAAATAATTGAACGGTCGTGATTATCGGAACAAGAAAATAATTTTGGGTGCGTTTTGTCTCCGATGATCATGTGTGTGTGTCGTTTTGGGATCAACCGGTTTATTTCTGTTATAGGTTTTTTCCCGCGGGACCTTTTTAACGAAAAATTTGGCAATAAGTCAATAACAATGACAACCTATGTGTCGGAGAATTTTCAACCTCGTTGTAATGTTGTTTTTGAGGATCGAAATAGCCTTCTTGTATCCTTAAATACAAAATGAAATTGAATGTGTTAAAAAGAAAAGATGCTCAGGTTTATGTTATGTGGACTTTAGCCCATTTATGGGGATTGGTACAAACACAAATAATCAAAGCATGGGATACAAGTGACCGATCCAGTTTGTTATGGTTCACCACATTGATAAAGTGATTCATGTCTACTACATTTAGATTTAAAGGGAAACCAAATTTGCTTCTATTGATACAAAACTAAACTTCGATATAACTGAGAAGATATCACATCATCTATTGCACTGTAATAAATTTAAAGAGTTTAGTGTTATTTCTTAATGTTTTAGCCCAAATGTGATTAGTTCAACTAAATTGTTGATTAAAAATCGAGACTTTTTTGCACAGATTTTGAAATAAAGTCTATGGTAACCAAGTGAGCTATGGCGTTGGGTTAGAATTTACTATTATTATTTAATTATAGACCAAACGAATTATGCATATTTTGTTGGACTAGAATGTAATGGCAGTAAAAGCATTTACAATATCAGAGATCAGTTCCTAACAGTTCAACTAGGTTTTTTTTTTTGAGAAAATATGGCAATAAAATCATCATCATATCATATATAAGAACCACACGATTAAAGGAGATAATATACAATAGTATATACATGTGTATTATAAAAATAAGTTAGACATATTCACCCACATGGATCCATGAAGAACATATTCACTCGCATATACGACTTCATGGATGAATCAACTATTCACCATTAAAAAACAGAGTCACAAAATATGAGACAAAAGAGTCCTTCAAAAGTTCAACCTTTATGCACATGACCATGATGAACTAGCTTTTTTACGTTTTATATTTACCATTTTTTCTAACTATTTTTCAGATATCTTTTATGACGACTTTTGTTTTTTTGTTCACGAAATGAAATTTGTAATGAAGTAACAAATGATCAATGATTGTTTAGATATATGAAGTATTTTAGCAATGATTGTTTTAAATGTGCAAGCTTTTATCTCGATGGTTCAAAAATAGCACGAAAGTTGAAATTAGTGTAAAAAATGACACAAATCTATTAATTTGTTCAAAAAAAAAAATCTATAAATTAATAAGATAATAATTTTTTTTGAAAATCTTATGTGAACAACATATGGTCTCATCAATATCATAAATTAATAATTGTTTAAACTTCTTAAAATATATACATTCTATATATTTAGGTACTTGGGCTGCACGCTCGCAGCTAGACTAGATTCTGGTTAATGTTGTGGTGACCACAAAATTATGGCTGGAACTACTACCAGTTTTGTCTTTCATTACAGAGGGAGGTTCACGGATATCAATCAAAGACACCGGTTATGTTGTATCTGCATTTACAATCGGCTGAGAGAACTTCAAGTTGGTGTCCCAACTCTTACTGTTGGAACCATCTTTACAACACTGCCATGGCTGCAGAGTGGGATTTTCTGCACCGATTTTGAATCAACTCATGATTGGCTTTTCTTTGCAACTCCACCGACTAATTACAGGACGATTAGAGATATTGGTTTAAAGTGGCAAGCAAACCCCAAGAAAGAAATACAATTTGCAGATCATCAGCGGATTGTTCTGACTCATCTCTATCTCAGAGCTATCTCCGGTCATGCTGTTGATTATGAATTGATGATGAGGAGCAAAAAATGGGTTCTCAACCTCTATGAGTGTGGAGAATTCTCTCTTTACTGCCTGTCATTTTCATGTTCCACCAAAGTCAGGCCCGGCGCATGACACAATCAAGTGAAGCCATGACTTAGGGCATCAAACTAAAAGGGGCATATCTTTTTAGAAAAAAATTTAGGTCTTTTATGTTTAAAAAAAGATTTACAAGCTTTCTTTGAAAAACAAATTTGTTGGGTTTTCCTTTCATTAAAATTTCTGGACTTTATACCTTTAAATTAATATAATATTATTTAATATATTGTTAATGAATTTTATTAGTAAAATTTTGGCTAAAAAATAAAATAAAACCTTAAACGTTTACAAAAATTTTTCATCCATTGATTCAATTCATATCTTTTTTTTTTGTGTTTGGCTGCTTGCAAGCTTGTTAAGATATGTGAATTTTGTTTTGATTTGATTTAGTTTATATTAATCTTATTTGTGATGCTAGAAATTTTTTTTTACAAAGAGCATGATTTTTTTTAGTGGCGTAGAGCATTTAGATATACCGGACCGGCCCTGACCAAAGTTGATCCGGAACAAAAGCTGTTGTTTCCAAAATCTAACCCTCCTGATTCTGATCCTAAGGATGATTCTGATCCTAAGGGTGATTCTGATTCTACTCCAAGACCACCAAAGAAGGCAAAGAAAACTGATGCGTTACCAAAAGCATCTTCCTATGTTTGTGTTGAGCAGACGGTAGATTTTGCATGTGGTTGTTGTTTATAAAAGTAGCTCCCTATTTCCTAGCCTGTGTACACATTAACATCCTTGTTTGCAGTGTCGTGGTGAGAGAAGATAAGAACTTGTTGACTGTACTATTCCCAGATGGGTGTGATGGACGAGCCTTCACCCTCAAGGTGATTTATATATTTGCTTGGCTGACTTTAGTTTGCTTTTGGTTATGTGCTATGATTTCTGGGTTATTGCTTCCTTAGAAAATGCTAATTATTTGGCTCACATAGGCTGAGACATTGGACGACTTGTATGAATGGAAGGCTGCCCTTGAGCAAGCCCTTGCACAAGCTCCCAATGCAGCACTTGTAATTGGTCAAAATGGAATATTCCGAACAGAAGCAAACAATACTATTGAAGCATCCTTCAATTCATGTTAGTTCTCATTTATTTTATTATTATCAGCTCCTCTGCTATGGTTCCTTTCATAATTCTGATGTATATCAATCACACCCTGGCATGCAGGGAGGGATCAGCGCCCGTTGAAGTCTTCGGTCATTGGAAGACCAATTTTGCAAGCTTTAGAAGAAACTGATTGAAGTCCATATTTTCTTGAGAAAGCAATGCAATTTCTTGAGACATATGGTGAGCATTGGCCTCCTAGTTTAATTAGTTTCCTCCCATTATATGTTCACCTTCTGATATCATTATTGTCTGTTGTTTGTCCTCTAGAAGATTGATTTTTACATTATCTTCAGTGCCGTATATATTTTTAAATTCCTTTTATAACTTCAGCAGACAACAACAGTAAGCTCTTGCTAGCTAATCTGTTGTCTCTCCCCAAACTTTCATCAGAATGCAACATCCAATTCATCTGACATTTTCTTTCCTTTATCTTTCTCGGTTTGTTGGCATTGTGAAAGTAACTTAACATGAGTGAATATGTGATTATTATATCAGTAAAGTTGGTTACAATCTGCTTTTCTAAAGATAGATAATACCAGGTTACAATTTTGAATCTTTCAGAGTCTACAACAATGTAGTAATTGAACCGTGCTTATATCCATTCTACACAAAACACATCTCCAGCTTTTGGATTCTGTAACAAAAAGATGCATGAGCAGCTTTCTTTATCAGAGGTTTACAATCTCCAGAAAGTCCAAATTCCTTCCAACCATGAGATGTGACAAACAACCGTGATCGGAACAGCCTCAGAAGAATGCTTCGGACCAGATGTTATTGTTTCCTGCAAAGACATCATATGCACATGCAGAAAGAGCCTAGTAAGTAAGTATGAAAGCACAAATCCAATATGCTTTAGCCAAAAAAAATAAAGAGACTAGATTTCATGTCTCTAAAGACAGATGTTACTAAATCTGGTTAAATTTGAAGACAACTTCATCAAGTATCAACAAAAGATATTGATCTCTACTGCAAGCTACATAAAAAATCTGCGGCAATTACAAGGTAAGCTAAACTAATATTCAACCCCCAAAAAAAAACTAGTTCTCTGCATTAGCATGATTATCCCTTTGTGATTAACTACAGTGGCATTTCAATTCATAAGCCAGAAACGTAAAGTGAAACTCTGAATTCTACCTTGGAGTAAGATGTTGCTACGTGAGATGTATCATGCGTGCTTGAAGAGCTTCATACTAAGCCAATGAAAGTAAACAGCAACCAGAAGAGCTGGTAGAGTCAGTGGAGCCAAGAAGCAGTAGTACCTAAAGAATGTTTTAATATGAAATATAAATCATGAGATGACATACACGTAACAGATGTCAAGATGATGGATATCAATATAACAAGAATGATACACAAACAAACATTTACCCCGGAACAAGAGTGTACCTGTCATTCTGAATAGCTTGGATAATGGGATTGTCAGAGAGTGGAAACAATTTGGAGACTATAGCTACAAACACAAATCCAATGAAGGAAATGGAACCAACGATCACTAAAAAGCCTCCCCAAAACTTCATTCTCAAGACCCCCAAAATTCTCAATGTTTCATCCAAGCAGTCTCTGTAACAGTCCAAGTAGCATCATGTAACTCCTTGTGCCGGTAACAGAGATAATATAGTGATTGAGAGGATCTGAATTCAGTAAAGGAAGAAGCTGAGTTAAAGTCGTTATCTGAGTATAGAGTAATCATCAATTCCCATGAAATCCTAAAATCTGGAAATTTAATTATAACAAAATTCATTATCATATTAAGCCAAAGTTTCTTACTTTCCAATAGACCCAGATCCTTAAGTTTAATTTGTTTGGATCTCTAGTATTATCAGCTAAAATATGAAGCCTAAATGTCCCGGATTAATAAGAAAATTACCAAAGGCATCGTAAATGATAACGAAAACCCTAAAAACTAAAACAAAACTAAACTGTGAGAGAGAATGAAGGAATGAGCACAACTTACATCGGTTGAGAGATTCCCCTGAAAGAGAGCAGAGCAGAGACAGACACCGAAGATCGCAAACCAAACAAGAAGAGACAAAACCGGCGAACCAGAGCGGCAAAACAAGCCAGCATATCAAAATCGCTAAACCATCAATTTTACCCAAATCGGACTGACTGATTATCAGTCAAACCGGTTTAATCTCAAACATGTACGAACCAGCAAGCTAATGTCCTCCAGAAGCGGTCTAGACGGGTTTTGGTAGGCTTCCAAAAATATAGGCCTAACTTGGCCCAGTCTTATTTTCCAAAATACACAAGTTTTGCTTTTAATTAATTTTCTTTCTTTATCGGCCCATGGAGAAGCCCATTCGTGGTCTCGTTTCTATAGTCCTAATTAAAAAAGGATTTTTCTAATCACCTTATAAAAAGATTGGTGTTTCTTATTCTTGCCCTCAAAAACAAAACTTTCATAAAGAAACTAAATCAAATCATGGCCTTCTACTCGATCATGATGATATTGATTGTTTCTATTTTCTTGATATCATCTTCTTCCACGAACGTAAACCAACACTTCCGGAGTCTAATTCTTCGCGAAAAATTTCATGCATCTGAATCCAACAACTTCATAGTGTCACCTTGTCAGCTACCAGAGATTATGGAACTGGTGGGGAAAAAAGCCTGTTTATATCACCGTGAAGAGATCATTGACGTTGGAATTGACAACGCAACATTATCGCGATCCGTTGGTTCGGAGTTTTCAGAATATCAACAAAATCGTTGTCGTTTCAAAAACCGGAAGATCAATATATCTATTCAGGATATGTGTCCAACCATATACTGGGCAGATATGGTTGAGGAATACCAATTATCCAAATTTGTGACGCTTGTGTCTAGTTTGATTACTATTTTATCGTTCTTAAAACTTTAATGTGGTAGATAGTCTACCATTTTAACATAATTAATTTACAAAATAATAATTCTGAGATTAATAAAATGATAGTTTTTTTAATCTATTTTTGAATTATTATTTCATTTGTTATTTTTTAAGATATATAGTAAATCATGGTGGATATTTTCTCCCAAAATCAATCGTTACAATATCTACTAAAAAATCTTTTTTTTGGCTACAGTAGTTTTTTATTGTGTTTTAAAATATTAATGATGATGTAATAGTAGTCTACATTATAAGAGGATTAGATCAAATATTTCAATTGATAATGTAACAAATAACAAAAAAAAAGAACATTAATGTATTAGGGGTGTTAAATTAGCAAATATTTCCAACATCGCAGTTTCCAGCATCTATTTCGTAATTCAATTGGTGTTAAATTAGCAAGAACTGGACCTTCTCTGTTTCGTGGGGATACTCTGCCCATCTCTATGAGAAGATATTCTCACGCAGCCAATTGATGCGTCCTATCGAGACATTCCATCCTTGGCTCCGAGGACGCCTTCTAGCTTACATGTTTAACACGAGACCAGTGTCTCGAGATCCATGTGAAGCTCCTCACTGGTTCTTCGTCGATTCAATTGAACAAGAGAATAAAAAAGTTGTTACTTCTTACACAAGGAAGATTCCTAGAAACATTGACTTCTTGTTCCCTCTCCGGTAATATATCTGCGGATACTCTCGCATGGATCCGAGTCTTCTCTCCCAAAACTCCCAAACAGGTTAGATCATCTTATTATCTCATAGATATTTTAAGAAAGATACTTACGACTAGTATTCAAGTTTCCCAAAAAGTATTCAAGTTTCATTACTAAAAATTTCAATTAATAGTGTTTTATTGTTCTTAGGGGAGAAAATTGGAATGTTGCGACGTGTAATATGAAGGTGCAGAAGTTGCAAACATAAGATAAGACTTAGAGATTGCAGGAGAGACGAATTCATCGCCTAATGAAATTTGGAGAGCAGCAATATTAGTTAATGTTGTAATTTTCATTCTTCTATATAATTAAGTTACAAGTTGTACGTTACCTTCTGAAAAAGTTAATTACTAAGGATCTTGATTATTCAAGAAATAACAAAATGATTATATAAAACAAAACATAGTGAGCCTTTTTTTTTTCTTCTTGGTAACGTTTGAAAGTGAAAGAAACAAGAAAGTGAGTTATCTCATATCTGAGTGAGATGGTTCAAGATTGATGTAGAAAGTTCATAAAAACTGTATGGTAATGTAAATGAAATGGTTTACATGCAGTTATGCATAGAAGCAGCATGAAAATTGTTTTATCATCCCTTTTTTGGCTTCTTTTTTTTACTTTTATCCTATTTTTCTCAAACGAGAAAGTTTCAGTGCTTTAAAATTAATGATGATCACCTGCTATCTTTAACATCCAAATCACATGATTTATGCACATCAGCTCTCATGATCAACATTCCCCTCTCTCTTTTTATTTTATATATATAATTCCCCTCTGCTTTAGTAACTAACTATTTCTATACAGTATATGTATAAAAATTCAGACACATTGTCTACCAATTCATTTTGTGAAATTTGAGTCTCTCAATGGCATTTAAGAACAGTAGCAACACCATACGAACCAAATTGAGTCACATCTTTCAAAACCTATCATTATCTACCTTATGGAAATCCTTAACAGTTTCCAGTGCTCTACTTTTCTTGCTACACACATTTGCATTCAACAATCCTCATAAAATGATGACCCATAAACTCTTTGCGCCTCTTGACCTTACTTTCTCCTCCTCTTCATCATCTTCCTTGTCTTCAGTATCATTGTCCTTGCAAATTACAAGAGAGTCTCCTACAAATATCAGCCATCTATTTTTTGTCATTGTTGGTAGTACAAAGACTTGGAGATATAGGAGAGGCTACATAGAGCCTTGGTGGAGACCAAACATCACAAAAGGATATGTCTTCCTCGAAAGACCACCTGGCCGTGATCTCTTGCCTTGGCCTCAACAATCTCCTCCCTTCTCTGTCAACAAAGAATCATTCATCACAAACAAATTCAAGACTCAGATCCGCCTTTTTTATTCGCTTCAAGAGTCTTTTAAGAAGGCTTCCAAAGAGACAAGATGGTTTGTGATAGCAGATGATGATACTCTCTTCTTCTTGGACAATTTGGTCAAAGCTCTTGACAGGTATGACCACAAGAAGCAGTATTACATCGGAATGAACTCGGAAAACGTTTGGTCCAACGCGATTTTCGCTTTCGACATGGGATATGGAGGAGGCGGATACGCATTGAGCTATCCAACCGTAGTAACACTTCTCAGAAACATGGAAGAATGTATCAGAAGATACCTTGGAGTTTACAGCGATCTTCTCTCATTTCGTTGCTTGGCCGACTTGGGAATTGATCTTACTTTAGAGAAAGGCATGCACCAGGTAGGGTTGTTCAATTCAAATTTTTCAGTTTTTTAGTATTTTACAAGTTTTTGGTATTTGAATGAACAGTAACCAAAGATATAATATGGTTCGGTTTAGTGTGAACAAGAAAGTGATTCTTGTGTCTCACTATCATACTCTCACTCTGTCTTCCTTGTGGTGTATATTACATTACCAGATTGATCTACACGGTGATATATCAGGTCTCTTATCAGCTCATCCTCAGTCTCCTCTTATCAGCCTCCACCATTTCGATGTCATAGAGCCGATTTTCCCAGGCATGAACCGCCAGCAATCCGTGAACCACCTCATGGAAACCGCGAAAACCGACCAGTCCCGTGTCTTGCAACAAACAATATGTTACCAAAGGGGATATAACTGGTCAGTCTCTGTCTCTTGGGGCTACTCAGTCCACATTTACCAATCTATATTCCCAAGAAACCACCTGAAACGCCCTCTCGAAACATTCCGACCATGGAAGGATGTTAAAATACCGTCGTATACATTTAACACGAGACGGGTGACGAATGATGCTTGCGAAATGCCTCGTCAGTTTTTCTTTGATTCGGTTGTGGAGGAGAAGAACCAAAGCTTGGTAACTACCATGTACAAGATGAAATTAGAAAGGAGATTGCCTCCTTGTTTGCTAAATGGCAACCATTCTTCTCGTAACATTACACAAGTCCGAGTCATTGCTACTACTATGCACAAGATGGTAACCACTATACCCTCTATAATCTTTTAATCAAGTTATAATCAATTTCTATATAATCTGAAATCAACTTCAAATATGGAAACAGGGCGAAGGAATCGAATGTTGCGATGTGCAAAATGTTAACAGTACGGAGATTATGGAAGTGAAGATAAGAGCTTGTCATGAAGATGAAGTTCTTGCTTAGGCTATGTCTTATGATACGTGGAATTATCTACTATTATTGATGTGACATTCTTTTTCATTTGTATAACAATAGAATGTCATATGCTGTATAACTTCTTGTTGCAACCAGAATAGACAGTTGGGAAAATCAATTCCCAAATCGGGGGAATCAAGAGGTTTCAAACCCCAAATGCATAAAGTCTTTATGCGGTTTGTGAAAATAGCCTTAGTTTGCATTGAAAAATCGACTAATTTTCTAGAAATAGGACCAAAATAGAACAATCAAACGGCCCCAATATCAGAAACAATCGTATGAAGAAAAAGTAGTTTGCGTATACATTAGTCGAAAGACCATGTCAGAATCGGGCACATCCGGTTCTGCTTCTTCAATGAGATTTCTGGATACCGATGAGGCGGGCATAATCCACCCATCTGCGACACCAACAAAAGGAACATGTGAATCAAAACTGCTGAGAACAGAGAGTAAGAACAATGTTTGGGTGTTTTTGAAACAACTTACAATAAGGAACCCAAGAATGTGTTGCCTGTTCTAACTGCGAAACACAACGCACTCAGTGCAAGTTTGTGTTGGTGTAGCATTGGCTCCAGGAGACGTTGTTCAATTACACCCGCCACTATTTGGTACCTGTTCATTTCAAAACACATCTCTTTACATTATCCAATCTAAATGATACAATGTGCTACTCGGGTTCGTTTGTCTAAGCTTTTTTTTCCTGTTCGACTTCGTTAGTAAAGTTTGGTAGAAAGAAACTCAGTACCTTAGGTTGCTAGAAACTGCCATATAGACACCATATGCAACACTTGTGGAGACGATCGGAACAGTTTCAATTTCACCTTCAGAAGTCTGGTCTACAGCTCGTCGTGCTTTTATGAATGCATTTGTAATAGCAGTACCAACCTAACCAAGTTTACAGATACGTCAAGTCAAAAGAATGTAGAAACGAAATGTGAAGGAATTAATGGAAACTATCCATTTTCTGACTGAGTTTCCTTTTTTCAAGTAGATATGTTTCGACTCACCAGCGATGATGTGGTGCCAACGGCAAACAGCTTAGCTCCATTGCGCTGCATAACATATACAAACAATATATGTTATCCAGAAATTAGCAGTCCTTATAACCAACTATTGCGTGGTTCATTATTAAGATCACATAGGAAGAAGTTGACAATAACCACACACCGTTATAGCACCTAGCCTTTGCAAGAGAGTATATGAGGTTCCGGAGAGAGCAACCTGCAGCAAACACATTGGATAATTAGATGAGATCGAGCTTTTGTAAACTTATCATGCATGTGCAAAAACCAAACAATTCTTTTACAAAAAAATTATACCTGGAAGGCATTGTCTGGGCAGTTGTGGAAAAACTTGGATATACCTCCAGCAGTAAGTGCAAGAGGTGGTCGAAGAGAAACGGTAGGAGCAGGAAGATAAACTAACATGAAATCAGCAATAATAGCCATCGCCTAATAAAGAAAGAAAAAAAGAAGCAAAACAGTGCATCCGCTTAAATCCAATATCATTTAGCAGAAAAACATGGCAATGAACATAGCAGTGAGTCAGTGACAAAGCTTCTGTGTATGTATTTTCCAGATAGTTCAGGGAACTTTGTCTTACAAAGCAGCAAAAGGGTGACCCTTAACTTTTATTTTTCTCCAAATTTGCTATTTAACAGTTCAAATATTGGTTCTTACCTCAGAGACAAAGCAAATCTCAACTACTCTCATAGTCATGCAAAAAACTTATGGTGAAAATTTGCAGACCCCATCACAACCACAAACTACCCTTAACCTTTCGTCTACCCGAATGGGTCACCTAAAAGATTTTTGTTCTCAATTTTCTCAACCTTCCCTACCATCTAACAATTTCACAATTTCTCATAGTAAGTTCCTGCGATCTGACAGGAACACTTAAGAAAAATTCACCACAGGAAAAAAGTCAGCGAGAAGAATGAGTACCACATCGGCAAAGACAACTTCAAGTTCATTGAAGAAGTTTTCTCTACGCCGTTCATACTCAGCAGCAGTCTGCAACAAAAGAAGCAACACATTATGATAAATACCAGATTTTAAGGATTAACAGATTTGCTCTGTTTGCATTTCAGAGAGAACAAGGTGCTCAATTTGTTAAGCAGACAATTCAATCACGGATTGAAATCAAAATCAAAATCAAAACAGTATCCTGATGATGAATTCACCAGAAACCACACAAAGAAGGAAACCAAAAATCGAAACTTGCTATAAAGTGAATAAGAGAAAGGAGAGACCTTGGTGAAGATTCCAACACCACATTCCATGGCGAGTTTAGCCATGAAGAGATCATCAGCCAACAATCTTTCCCTAAACCCACCAAACTGCATCAGCCACCGCATCACAGCCGATTTCTGAAGCTCCAGGAACCGAGTGATAACCGATCCAGGAATCCGACCCGACTCAATAGCAGCCGCTAGATCTTTGGGAAGACTATCCAATCCAGTACCAGACTCCTTCAACAAAAACATCGCCTCGTTCCTGTTCCTATCCCTGTCCTCGTCACCGTGTCCATCTCCATCATTTTTGCCTCCATCGCCACCACCACCACCACCAAGACCTCCTCCGTTGTTATCAGAGCCGCCGTTATCAATCGAAGCGGATAAAACAGGGGTAATAGGAACGCGGCGGTTGAAAGAGATGGACTTTGCAGTGATTACACCGTTAAAAGAGGAAGAGGAAGATAGTCTAGGAAAGGAAGCGAGGTGAGGCCATGTAAGATTGGATTCAGAGATAGATGTGTTGGGTGTTGGAACACAGAAGAAGCAGGAAGCGATGGCCATTGATGCTACAGAGAGAAACAAAAAAGAGAGATCTCTGAAACTGAAACTGAAAGTCGTCTGGTTCAGTGTCTCTCTCTCTGTGCTCTGTAGGTAGGCGGACGATTAAGAGAAGTGGAGAGTCAGCGAAAAAGAAGAATCTTTCTTCGGTGTTTTAAGGGTTTTTTCTTATTTTATATTTGGTGGACCTCACTATCGAGAGAATCCAACTGGCGCGTGTCTTTCACGATGCATCTTACACCAGCTTATAAATATATGTATTACAATCACAAACTCATCATCTTTGGAATCTCAGAAACTTGTTTGACATCATCATCAATCACATCGCTGTCCATGGAAGAACTTTTCAAACAAATTGAAAGCCCTAAAAAAAACCTACGACCACGACCAATCTTTCTATCATTACCGTGTTAAATGCTTATAGAACATAATAGTTATGTCTTTTAGACAATTTCTCATCAATACCGATGCTTCTTCTTCAGGTGCTGTTGCTTCTTCAAAAAAAATCCAAACTTTTTCTCTTGCTTTCTTAGGTCTCGCCTTCTAATTGCAATGAACCATCTCTCATTAACTTGAGGCTTAAACTGTTGAATCTTTCCCGAGAATACTGCCTTGATGCTTTTCTCCAATCTGTCCCAGCTTTCATCATCGCAACAAACTCTTCATAGCTTATTCGTCCGTCCTGATCACACAAAACAAAGATGTGTTCTTTATATGGGTGGACAATTCAAGAATGTAGAATTCTGAAATACCCTTTTGAAAAGATTCAGAAAGTGTGTGTTTTAACTTCTAAACAAATGGGTTCACGAAATGTGAAACAGTGAAAAGATCATTCTTTCAATGTAATTACCTTGTCGGTATCAACATCTTGCATGATGGCTGCGATTACTTCCTCACTGCTAGTATTATCCAATTCATCATTCAAAGCTTCACGAAGTTCTTCAATCTCTATGTAACCACTCTGGTTCTGATCAAAGAAGTTAAAAGCTTTATGCAAGTGTTCATCATTTGCCATCTTCTTAAGGTGCACCGAAACAGCAACAAACTCGCTATAGTTCAGTGTCCCATCTCCATCAACATCAGTCTGCAGGAAAGAAAAAAAAAACTGGTTTTAATTTTCAGAAGTGATATAGCACTTATTCTGAGCTTATCGTTTTGAAATGAAAGATTCATACAGCTTCCATAAGAATTTGAAGATCAGCATCAGCGATCTGTTGTCCAGCTTTTTGAAGTCCATATTTAAGCTCCTCGAGATTTATCTTGCCTCTCTTGTTTACGTCCATCATTTCAAATGCTTCCTTTATCCCTGCCGCTTCCTCCACTGACAAGTGTTCAGCTATCACCTAGAAGAGGAAACAAGTTTACATATTCATTTTTGCTTCCGACTCAGATTGGAAGTAAATTGATAATCAGTGACATGGTTTAACAGAATCATTACTCGCAGAGCTCGTTTCTTGAGCTTGTTCATAACAGAAAACTGCTTGAGCCTTGCTTTCACAGTCTCCCCAAGAGAGACATTTGGAGCCTTCTTTGCATTCAGTATCCAAGTATGTTCTGCAAGTAGAAAACTTCTTATGAGTTTAAGATTTCAGAAAACTCAGCCTTGCTAAAAACAAAAGCCTACCGAGCACTTGTGCAGCAGTAAGCCGTTTTTTGGGATCAGGTTCAAGCATCTTTCTCACAAGGTCTTTGGCGCTGTCAGAAACTCTTGGCCATGGATCTCTCTTAAAGTCAATTACTGACCTAATGATCGCTTGAGCCACCCCTTGCTCAGTCTCTGTACCCAATAGAGAGATAAAAACGTCTGAACGAGGTCTTAAAGTGAATAATCCAGAGGAAACAAAGAGAATGCGGTAAAGCATAAACAAACCGGCCCAAAATGGCGGGACACCACAAAGTAGGATATAGAGGATGACTCCAGCGCTCCAGACATCGATCTCAGGTCCATAGTTTCGTCGCAACACCTCGGGTGCCATGTAATAAGGACTTCCAACAATCTCATTAAACTGCTCACCTGTTACAGTTTAGCAATTTCAGCTTAAGTAAAGATACACTGATAAATGTGCTCCATTGATACTCGTCAAAAGCTGATGTTATAAACGTACCAGGTTTGAAGAATACAGATAATCCAAAATCAATGGCCTTAAGGGGTGATGTCTCTTTCTTATTTGCAAAAAGAAAGTTCTCTGGTTTAAGATCCCGATGCATCACTCCCTGCTTATGGCATATCTGTAAAGACAAACCAGCGATATGTGAACAAAAACACAGACAAAAAAAGTTAGGGACTTCAGACATTGTGAACAGTAAACACAGCTATATATGGAACCTGAACAACTTCAACAATAGTCTTCATAACCGCAGCAGCAGCCCGCTCAGTGTAATGACCTCTTGCGACAATTCGATCAAACAGTTCCCCTCCTTCACACAACTCCATAACTATATGCACTGCATCATCATCCTCGAAGGCATCTTTCAAAGAGACGACATTTGGGTGTTTAGGCATATGCTTCATAATCTCAACCTCCCGCCTAACATCCTCTATATCAACTGCTGTTCTCAGCTTCTTCTTCGATATGGACTTGCAGGCATATTTCTCGCCTGTTTCCTTATCAGTACACAAGTAAGTAATACCAAACTCGCCTCTACCAACCTCACGTCCCAAATCATACTGCAAAGATATATCATGTCCTGTAGGATCTTTCAGCACAGAGAGCTTAAAACCAGCTCCAGATCTATCTGTTGTAGTGTATTCATTGCTGTAAAAAGGATTGTTTTTGTTCTTGGGTTTCCCTTGTTTACTCTCGCTGGTAGCCGAATTCGGATTGCCACAACAATTCCCCATCTAAACAAATCTCAGGGTTCCTGAAAAACCCAGAAAGTTGAAAACTTTGAGCACAGTTCTTCAAGGTTACATTAGTTTCTTAAGCCAAGAACTATTTCTAATTAACAACATATCCGAAATAAAACTTAACCCTAATATACTCAAACAACAGATTAGTAAACCCTAGCTAAGATCAAAGACAAAGGGAAAAGGGGAAAACACAGACCTCAGAACGTGAAATGGGAACAAACATTTAAATGGTTATAATCAGTTGAAGCAAAAAAGAGATATGTAGCTAAAAAGATATATTAAAGGGAAAAGTCATCATACGGTGTGAGAAAAAACAGATGCAGTGATAGAGAGAGAAGAAGAGAGGAAGAAGACGAGTCAAAGTCTTCCTCTTTCTCTCTCTTCTTCAAATGACAAACACACAAATTGACTCTCTTCTTCTACTTCTTCTTCTCGCTTGCGGATGGATTCAAAGAATGACAACTCCTAATTTTTAATGTGTTTCCATATTCTTTTTCATATGCTCTTCGTGTTTTTTTTTTTGTTGATATAAATAATCAATCTGCCCGTTGCAGATTAAACAAATTATTTTGTTTCACTGTCCTTTTCAAATCTGGTTTATATGCAAATTTCCATGAGCAAAATATGCAACTTATCTTTTAACAAATTACCAAAAATTTTACTTTTTCCTAAGAACATGTGTAATAGGTTTCTTCTACTTTCTAATCAATCTCCTGCGGTCAAATAATGTTTAAGTTGGCGAAAAGAGAAAATTTGACAACAAATCTGAAGCATGGCTATAGTAGTGAGTCAGAAAGGCAAACGATTAAACAAACGTATTTGTCAATTGTGCAAAAGAGATAACAAGTAAAGAATAAAAACAAGACCTACTTTGCTATTCCCCCGTCTCTTGTCTCCAAATCTAACACCTAACACAACTCGCTCTTTGTACATTCATAACTGTAAAACCCCACACAATATGAGAGACTGACAAGAACAACTAGCAAACACAAAAACGAAAAAGCCAAGAATGATTTGCCGGTTTGGGGCAATGGATATATTAGCCAAAGTGTGTGTCTCTCTCTCCACTCTCTTTGGCTTTTTATTATTATGGTGCACCTGACGAATTCAGGGTCTCATTAGAGTCCGTCTCAACTTGTTCGGAGCCTGATGAGTTGGTTGCTGAACCCCTTTCTCTTTCTCTCCCTCCTGCATCCTCTCCTGCTCCTACCTCACTTTTCTTCGCAAACCGGCCTCCACTAGCTCGTTCCCTTCTCATTGCATGCTTGTGTCTTGACTCGTGAAGATATGGCTGTCGCATTTCAAACATAGTCAATACAAGTTTACCGAGCTACACACCAAATTTACAAATTCTTAATTCTCCTTTTCAATCCTTCCTATAGCATGGGTCCAGTTGGGTTTCACAATATTGGCCATCACTTTTAGATGACTCTAAACCATCCTTAGATTCCCAGGATTCCCTGTTTTATTCCCAATTACCAATCAGACACAACTTTGATAAATGACAAAAAAAAATACCTTTCTGTCCCTGATGACTTTCCTTTCTAGCTCTGCCTTGGCGCGTGCTTTTCTTCGCCTTAGAATTCCCTCGTACTGTTTTGCATTCACATAAACGGGCTCTTGTGTCATGTCAAGTGGCAGAGCTGTTCTTTCACGAGGCATTCCAAGATATGGACGAAAACCCTGTTTACACCAGTGAACAACAAATAGACTCAGATCATCGAAAACTTTACCTATAACTTATAAGAATCCCCCAAAAATCCCCAAGAGTCGGTTATTTCAGATATGAACATTGGACATGAACTTTAAAAACATATCACTGACTATTGCTGAACCCAGACTCATTCCAAACAGAAAATAAAATCACCACAAAGGGTACTTTAGTGGCAAAAGCGCACATACATCAAATAAACACTGCACCATATGGAACTATTGTAGAGATTGAAAGAGGTTTCGACAAGATACCAATTGCTGATGACCATATGCTCCCATCATTCCCCCATAATATGGATCCTGATATGGATTTGGGACACAAGCCTGTAAGGAAGTTTTGAGTTTGTCATACATATGAAGGGAGTTATACAAGATAAATCCTTTTCAGTGACCAATAAGAAGTCAATTTAACAGCACAAGAAATGACACAGCATATATATATTTAAGGGATGAGAGGAAACTACATACAATATAGTGTCCAACAAGCTCTGGTGGTTGTACAAGTTGCTGATCATGTATGTTACGAATAGAAAGCGCCGGGTCATTCCCTTCCATTCCATGATTATCTACCGAAATTGAAGAGAAACACCATTACAGACAAAATAAATAAATCAAAATGGCACACTTCAACGACACAGAATCTCCTTTGCGTGGATAGATATATAAAACCCTACAATTACAATGCAAGTATATCTCAGGGACCAGATTTCATAACTTCATGACTTTGACATGCCCAGTGGCCAAAATCACCCAAATGCCCTTTTAATCTTCCTGCCTGCTTGAGGAACCATTTTTCACCAAATTGCAGATATAGGTATTGAGAACGACATCACTTAGTAACCATCTAACAAGTTACAGAAATCCATAAACATCGAAAGTGATCCCTAGATCATGCAGTCTTGTTATGCAGCAACACAATACTGCAGAGATGATGATAAGTACAGTAAACCAAGCAGGCCTAAGACCTAGAACTCAAACCTGAACGAGAGGAAGTTGCAGCTTGTGAATCCTTCCAAGTGCCGTCATTTTCACCATTCAACGCACCATCTTCAGATGCTGAATGAACATCGTTTGATTCGGAACCATTGGGGCAATCCAAAGAAGAGGAATTTGATGGAATTCCAGAAGGTCTCGCTTGAGGAACTACACCAAAGGTGTTGATTTTCCACCAGGGATCTGCTGGATACATCATCGGTTGCTGAACAGCATGGTGATTGACTTCCTCTTCGTTTTCTCTTCCCGGTTTCGATTGCATCTCTACATAATCAGGTCAACACATGTTTAGTAACCAATTCAAAATCCAATCAAGAACAAAATTCATCACTAAAATACACACTTCAACTACAAAAAAGAGCAATTTTAGGGCTATTAAGCAATGCAGAAACATGCAAAAAAGAGGCGAAAACGCATAAAAATCTCAAATGCCTCGAATTTACACTTTAAACCTACATATAAGCTCATAAGATTCAAGCGATTATTTAGCCACCTGAATCAATTTTTAAATCCCTTCACGATTTCCAGCAAACAAAATTCCCCAAGGAGAAAAGAAAATTAGCATACCAGTGGAAAATTCACAGCTGGCTGAGCACTCTTGCAATCGCCTTCAAAGAAGATAACTTCTTTAAAAAAACCCTGAAGTGAATTCAATCGATCACGATTTTGCAGAGTTCAGAGAACAAAATTTGACTTGAGCAAAAACAATCAGAATCGAACAAAACCAGAGAAGAAGTTGGTGAAAGAGAAGCGATTCGGAACACCCGACAGCCGGCAGGAATGGAGAATTTCGTCGCAGAAAAGTGAAATTGGCGAGAAGAAAACCCTAGATTTTGGGGATTTTTCTTTTTCCAGAATTGTATTTTTGTTTTTAATAAAATTTATATAAATCGAAATAGAGTAAGAAATATGATGATGAAGAATTTATCGGTCTGGGAACACAAAATACCGAGATTTGATAAGATCACCTACGAAAGTGAAAAACTTTTTGCCACGTGGCGCTCTGTGAACGATGCCAGCGCGCGCAGATCTGGGATCTTCTCCGGGTGACGTTATCATAGGTTCATTTTTTTATTTTTTATTTTTTCTTATATAGAAGAAATTAAAATTTTTAAAAATAGGAGAAATTTGGGTCCAAGTGACACGCAAGTGATGGGCTGGGACGAGGGACACCTGTATAATATAGGGACCCCATTGCCAAAATAGTTTTATTTTCTGGATAAAAAAAAATTTAAGAGTTTTGTTCTTTTTCTTTGGCAAAAAAATAACTTTCATGAATAATATTAAACTTGTACAACTGAAAATATATATATTTTTTACAAATTATTTTCGCAAAAAGATTCTGAAAATTTAATTTTAAAAACATGAATTGTTCGCTGGTTATATACTTATATTTATTTGAGCAAAATTATTTGAGTGGTAAAAATTGGGATTATTTTTATATATTTTAAAAAAATTACAAGTATATTGAATCGTTGTTTAGTAATTTGTGTGTTGTGTTGTTATTGTGGTTTGTGGAGATTCAAACTACAGTCAACACTCACCGTAACAATGTTGATATCATCATCATTAATTATGCCTAGTTGGGGCGTAACACATATATAGTTTCATCAAAATAATTATATTTCTCTGTGAAATCATAAGTGTTTAATTTGTTTTGTGAGACCGAAATTAATCGGTCAAGAATGGAAAAGAGGATATACAAATGAAAAATGACTAACCATAATAGCATATAACTCAAGTCACCCAACCACCAAACGTTGGCCATCTAGAAAACGCGAAAATTATGAATCATACGCAATATATATTTTTAGAAAGATGGTAGGGAAGAAAGAGAGACAAGAAATCTTGTTATACTCTTAAGAAATCCTGTTTTATTAAAACTAACATATAAATGGAATCCATTTGCTTATATCCTGTGTAATGATGTCTAGTATTTGTGTTTAATGTTATGGTGAAGAACATTAACAAGTTTTGGCGGCCTAGATAAAGATACCATTTATCATCGATCGCCCAAAGCTTTTTTTTGAACGTCATGCATTAGCAGAATCGTGCAATCGTCGATAATCAACAAAAGCGATAAAGAATAAAATGTTCCTTCTTATAAAAAACGTTTACAATAATTACCATTGTTAATGTTAAATTAAAGACAAAATAAAAAAAAACTAACCAAACATATAGTATTTGTAGTAACATTTTTTTTTCTTCAACAAAATCATTAACTAAACTTACAAAATCAAAATTTATAACTAATATAATCATACTTCATATGGATGAAATGGCTAAGTCATTATATATTTCATGTGGTATACTCAAGCTAATATAAGATAACCAATTCAACAATCTTATTTCATAGATGAAATGGCTTAATCATTTATTTTTTTAATAATATATTGTTTATGTAGCTATTTAAAAAACTATAATTTTTATTGTGTAAACCATAATTATCAAAAAGGTTTCAACGTTTTTATATATATATATATGTATGTTTCTATAGTCCTGTTATTTGATTTGAGTACTTATAAATGAAACTAAAAAAATGCCCTTATAAAAAATTTCAAAAATTTAGATGCCATGCATAAGCCAATGTTTCACTTTTTTTTTTACATTGAAGCATGGCTCTATGCGTTCGACAGTCGTCGGTAGTCAACTTTTTGCTTGTTTTTTCAATAAGTGCTAATATCAATGAATTTTAAAGCTCTACAGTACACAAAACAAAAATTCTATCGTTTATCTTAGAATCGACTTTAAGATGGTTTGACTGCTAATAGAATTTTGGGAGTATTCAACCAAATTCAAATACATATCATTTTACTTATTTTGTGTACCTAGTTATAATCATTTCTAGATGTGCCCCCTTTTTTTAAATCAACATCAATCATATGTTCATACTGTAAAAGATAAGTGATTAAAAGAACCGCTAAACCGTTAAACCGCTTTCATGTTTGGTTTTGTTCTAGAAACATTGAGCAAACACTTAATTTATAGTCATTACAAATCTAATTAACATGCAGTTCATACAACCAATGAACCAAGTAAGTTTTGAACTCTTTTAATTACCAAAAAAAAAGTAAGTTTTGAACTACAGTAGCAAGTGTTCGAACCCTTTTAATTGGATTTCAACTAAAAGAGAAAGAAACAAATGTTTTTAGATGTATGGACTTTAATTTGTTGACTCAAATTTTCTCGATTAATTTTTAAAAGACATACAACGGATTTATGCAACCTTGCTTTACAACATGTGATCCGATCGAGATAGGAAAGACATAAACTAAACAAAGTTTTGTCGATACTCATGATTACTATTCCGGTTTTGTGGGAAACATCAAACGTTAATCCGCACATTCATATATATGGACATGCAATTCGTTTAGATTCTATATTACATACAAGTATATAACAAATCATACGTGCATACTGACTTCAAACTTATTTTTCATTCATATGATAATCATCCAACCTATATCCAACACATATGTCGATTTATATATAGTACTCTCCCTCTCTCTTTTTTTTTGGTTTTCGTTAAAGACGATTCATAGTCTTGTCACATGCGTTATATAAGTTGTTCATTTTAATCCACACAGTAAACACACAAAACATAACCAAGTTTTTTTATAATGTGAATCATCATAAAAATAGGGAACTCACTGCAATATATAAACACCAATCCTAACATAGAAGAGAGGATACCACTTCACTTCAAATCTTCAACGAGTACAAAATAAAACATTAATAAGACAAATTTAACGAAATCGTGATGAGGATCTTTGGTGTGCATGAGGATTCGTTTTCATCTAAACAAAGAATATTTCCAAATTTCTTTTTGGGATGTTAACTTTTCTTCAAAGCCCACTTTTTATGGCATTTGAACCCGAAGTCATAGCTTATAAAATGGGTGGAGTCGACTGTCGAGCCACTAGCCAAAGAATTTTAAAATTTTATTCTCAATTTTTAATATAGAAAGGAAAAAAAAAAGACCTGCAAATTGACCACCGTCTAAAGAGTCACTCAAAGTCCGCTCCTCAAATCCAACGGCTGTGATTTAAAGAATCAGATTCTTTTATTTATTTTATTAACGTGGATTTGAAACCTAAATTCCAAAACGCTTAAATATATCCCCACGCGCCCGCCACCTTCTACCGCTTTATCCCGTCACATACGCTGCAGAGCTCTTTAAGAGCATCTCCAAAGGGAGGTTTTCTCCTCAAAAATCAGGGGTTCTCTCATTTAATTGTAATAAAAATAAATGAAAATACATTAATATGCAGAGAATCGGGTCTCTTGAAAGAGCTTTTGTAGCCTGAGAGAGCCGGTTACGTGGCAAGCCATGATTGGTTGGTTGAATTTTTTTAACAACTTTTTTTTTGCCCTGTGCTCTATCTCTCTCTGGCTCTTTCGCGACTAATTCTCTGTTTCTCATCTCTCTTGCTGATAATAGTCTAGTATCAGAAGCTTTTCAAGTGTGGTCTGAAAATCAGATCGAGATGCGATTGTTATGTTTATTACTCTGTTGGATCTCGTTTCTAACGTTATCAATCTCAATCGTTGCATCGTCGGATGATCAATTCACCGTCGACGGAACAGTACTAGAACTCACAGATTCGAATTTTGATTCGGCGATTTCAACTTTTGATTGCATCTTTGTTGATTTCTATGCTCCTTGGTGTGGCCACTGCAAGCGTCTCAATCTCGCTTTAGTACGATTTGGATTTGTTTGTTTGCAATTACTTTGTCGAATTTAGGTTTATTATTGGTTATATAACAATTGATCAATCCAATTTCTGTGTTATGTCATCGAATTTTATACAATGTTCGGTTTTAATGGAAGATGTGGCTTATGAATGCTTCAAATATGTTCTTCTTATGTTCTTTTTGTTGATCTAGTTGCAGTTAGACGCAACTGCTCCAGTTCTAGCTATATTGAAGAAGCTCTATGACCATGGAGTTCCAATGGAGTACTAAGGATCGAGAAAGCAGATTTGCTTGTCCGTTACTTGAAGAAGTTTGTTATGCTTTGGTATGCTTAGTTGTTATATGCTATGGAATTGAGGTTGGCTCTGGTTTGCCTTGTGTGTTATGTTATAGACATGGAACATAGTAATGTGGTTCTTTTGTTTTAATAGGATTGTTAGAAGAGTCAAACTCTTTTTTTGATGATGTTTTCAGATTGTGTTGTGTCTCAGAGAATCAAGTTCAAGTGGTTTGTAGACAAGGAAACAGTTGAGCAAATGACAACTCTTAGAGAGATTCCAGTGATAAAACCCGGTTACATTTGACAAGGAAACAGTTGAGCAAATCAAGCTATCTTTCATCTTCTAAGTGAAACCTTTCATAGGCTTGCCATTTACTTTGTTTGAACAGGAAGTGCCTGAGAACAAGAGGCTTGTATTCAATTGTAGAAGGCGTCGTCGTAGCAAGGCGTAATGCTGGTCTTAACTCAACATTTAGAATTAGAAGGCTTGTTGCTGGAGTGGGCGTAGAAACCATGTTCCCCTTGTAAGTAACTTCAAGCTTGTGCAACTACTTTAATGTCTCTATGCAATGGTGTTCAATGGTTGTAATGTCTCTAGTACTATCTTAATTGATTGTACAATGTCTTGTGCAGAGTAAAAACAAACATGTATTGCAAATAAAAACATATATGTTTTGTTTTACAAATTTTAAAGATTTTCATAAGAACCCCACCATTGGAGGAGACAAAACTTATTAACTCCAATTCAAGTTCTTAAGTTTGATAAAAGCAAAATTTAATCTTAAAAAATGGTGAGAGCCTCTTGAGGAGTTCTCACCATTGGAGATGCTCTAACCTCCTTACACTATCTCTCACCACTTCTTCCGGTCACACCAGTTACCCTCTCATCCGTTTTCGTTTTTTTTTTCTCTCTTTCAAACAAGAACAAAAATCTCTCAGCTGAGGTGATCGATCTTCTTCTCACTCTTTAGATTTGTTCTTTTTGCATTTTACACTTTTGGATCTGCAAATGTGGTTCTCTGTTTCGGCCATTACCGATTAGTTTCAGTTCTGTTTTTCCTTCTCCCGATCGCTTGATTCGGACTGCGATCTTTCCTATTGGGTAAGCTTTATGGATTAGATTTGTTGAAAAACTTCAATTTTAATTGATTCTTTTGATTTAGTTTATGCTCAATCTGAAATATTTTAGTGGGTGATTGAGATTTTAAGTCATATAGTTTTGGTTTCGTTGAACTTTTGAGATTTCGATTGTGGTTGACTGTTCATTGACTTCTTCTTCTTCTTCTTCTCGCTTTTATTGTCAAAAAATTTAATTTTAAATTAATATGGTTTTTAAGGTTAGTTGGTATATTGAATCGTCTCTCCTTAAAGTTGTTTATCTGATTTGGTTGGTAAGAAAATTTCGTGTGTAGAAGAATGTTTGATGAAGAAGATGTTTAGCTCAACTATACTGAATGAATCTGATGCTTGTTAGATTTAGATTTCTTCTTCTGGGTAAAATTAGTTTCAGAAAATTTTATTAGATCCGTTTGTGACGGTTTTTGATCTTTGAGTCTTCTTTTGGTAAATCTTCTGACTTTGTTTCCTTATTTTTTGGTCAATTTTTTTATTATTATCAATTCAATTGTTTTCCTTAATTGCTGATTTTGATTGACCAATATTTTATGCTACTTCTCTATATTGTAAGCATACGTTATTGGTTGATTTCAATAGCCAAGTAACGTTTTTCTCTTTTGGTTGATTGTTTCAGATCTTTTTTTTTTCTCCAGTGCCGTGAAGGATGTGTGGTCTTGCTAAGAAGCTGGATACAGATAATACGTTGACATCACTTTCAGACCAAGAGAATGAATCTTTGGCCAAATCCATGAATGATGTTGCTGAGTGGGAACATTCGTTTTCTGCCTTGCTTGAGTTTGCTGCTGACAACGATGTGGAAGGGTTTAAGCGGCAACTCTCTGTTGTGTCTTGTATCAACCAGATGGGTCTTTGGTACAGACGCCAGAGGTTTGTTAGAAGAATGATTCTTGAGCAAAGAACCCCGCTCATGGTTGCTTCGATATATGGGAGTTTAGATGTTGTGAAGTTTATTCTTTCTTTCCCTGAAGCGGAGTTGAATCTTTCTTGTGGTCCAGATAAAAGTACTGCTCTTCATTGCGCTGCTTCTGGTGCTTCTGTGAATTCCTTGGATGTTGTCAAGTTGCTTCTGAGTGCTGGAGCAGATCCTAATATCCCTGATGCTCATGGGAATCGTCCTGTTGATGTTCTTGTTGTGTCTCCACACGCTCCTGGTTTGAGAACCATCCTTGAAGAGATCTTGAAGAAAGACGAGATTATATCTGAAGATCTGCATGCGTCTTCATCTAGCTTGGGATCAAGTTTCCGGTCTCTCTCATCATCACCAGATAATGGCTCCTCTTTACTCTCGTTAGATTCAGTATCTTCTCCGACTAAGCCAAACGGCACTGATGTAACTTTCGCATCAGAGAAAAAAGAGTACCCAATTGATCCCTCATTGCCCGACATCAAAAGTGGGATCTATTCAACAGATGAGTTTCGTATGTTCTCGTTCAAGATCCGCCCATGTTCTCGAGCTTATTCCCATGACTGGACTGAATGTCCATTTGCACACCCAGGTGAGAATGCTAGGAGAAGAGACCCGAGGAAGTTTCACTATACCTGTGTTCCATGCCCGGATTTTAAGAAGGGATCCTGTAAACAAGGTGATATGTGTGAATATGCTCATGGAGTGTTTGAATGCTGGCTACATCCTGCTCAATACAGAACACGATTGTGCAAGGATGGGATTGGCTGCAACCGAAGGGTTTGCTTCTTTGCTCACGCAAATGAAGAGTTGCGTCCTTTGTATCCTTCCACTGGATCCGGACTGCCATCTCCTCGGGCTTCTTCTGCTGTTTCTGCCTCTACTATGGATATGGCGTCAGTTTTGAACATGTTACCAGGCTCACCATCTGCTGCTCAACATTCGTTCACCCCACCGATATCTCCTTCTGGAAATGGTAGTATGCCCCATTCATCGATGGGTTGGCCTCAACAGAACATACCGGCGTTGAATCTTCCTGGAAGCAATATCCAGTTGAGTCGTCTGAGATCTTCTCTCAACGCTAGAGATATTCCTTCTGAGCAGCTTAGCATGCTGCATGAGTTTGAAATGCAACGTCAGCTTGCTGGAGATATGCACAGTCCACGCTTTATGAATCATTCCGCTCGTCCCAAGACACTGACCCCTTCGAATCTGGAGGAACTGTTCTCAGCTGAGGTTGCATCTCCTCGTTTCTCTGATCAACTTGCTGTCTCATCTGTTCTATCGCCTTCCCACAAATCCGCACTTCTTAATCAGCTGCAGAATAATAAGCAGAGCATGCTTTCTCCTATTAAGACAAATCTAATGTCTTCTCCAAAGAATGTGGAGCAACATTCTCTTCTGCAACAAGCCTCGTCACCTCGAGCCGGGGAGCCTCTTTCCCCTATGAACGCTCGAATGAAACAGCAGCTACATTCACGTAGCCTCAGCTCCCGTGATTTTGGATCCAGTCTGCCCCGTGATTTAATGCCTACTGATTCTGGTTCGCCACTAAGTCCGTGGTCAAGGTGGGACCAGACCCATGGAAGCAAGGTGGATTGGTCAGTCCAATCAGATGAGTTAGGTCGGTTGAGAAAATCTCATTCCTTGGCTAATAACCCAAACAGGGAAGCAGATGTTTCGTGGGCTCAGCAGATGTTAAAAGATTCTGCATCACCTAGGAACGGGAACCGAGTCGTGAACATGAACGGTGCAAGGCCATTGACTCAAGGTGGTTCGAGTGTGAATCCTCACCACAGTGACACTCGTGAGAGCGACATTCTCGATGCGTGGCTTGAGCAGCTGCAGCTAGATCGCTGAGCCTCACGGGAGAGAGAGGTTCACATTTCTGTGAAGCTGTGAAACTGATGATTCGTTTATTTTATTATTCAAGAAAGCAAACGGAACAAATTCCGGGTAAGCGCTTTTTCGATTCTAATAACCCTAAAAGGCTCAGTTTTTTCAGGCTTCTTTCTGAAATTTCTTTACTTCTTATTTTTATCACCTCATTAAATTATTTATTGTATCTCTGTTGTAACAATGGCCAAAGTGTTCCTCTGTGCCTCTATTACTTCCCGTATTTCTGATTTACATTTTTTGTATTCTCTCAGTTTGTCAATTGTTTCTAATATCTCCTTCATATTTGTCAAAGAACATTGTATGAGAAATAATAACATATTGTTTCAGCTAATAAGATTCATTCATTTTGCTTTCTCTGTTTTCCTGTCTTTTTCACTATAAACTTTAACCAGCGATTTAAAGGTATTATCCTAACCACTTCATAGACTAATAGACATCAATTTTTCAAGGGTTAGTGGCCGCAACTAACACGTTTATGGATGTCGAAGTTAAGTAACTATCAAGTAAAGTGGTGGTCTCACTTTGAACAATAAAGTCAAGTTAGAAATCAAACAAAATTGATGCAAGTAAGATTGCTTACACCTCAAAATATGTGTGATAGTGAGAATAAAAATTGCAGAAAAACTCTGCTCAATCCTTAAAACCCTGATTTTAATCCTTCTCAAATCTGAACCTCAAAGCCGTTCTAAGAGATTATATATATAAGTAAGGAAAAGAATGGGAATACTGGTGTATTGTGGTCCTCACCACAAGCCAATGAACTTCCACCAGGCACCACCTACACCAAGCCAGATAAGAATGTTGACTATTGAAATCAGGAATCCATAGCCCCACCATTTAGCCAGCGGCACGTAGTTAGCTCCGTAGAAGATAGGCGCAGACCCGATACCATAATGGGTCAATCCTCCCATCAGGTTGGATAGGAACGCAAGGACTAAGGCTGCAAAGTAAGGTGGAGTGCCTAGAGCGGTTGAGACCGATAAAAAGGCAGTGAACATAGCTCCAATGTGGGCAGCTCCACTGGCAAAGAAGTAGTGAGTGTAGAAATACAAGAGGACGAGGATTCCAAAAGATAGCTGCCATGACAAACCCAATCCTCCCACAAACTGTAAACAAAACCCAAAGAATGTCAGAAACATTTTATAAGCAACTGCTAAGTCATCAGGCTTTTTAAGCATTCATCAAAATCATTTAACAAACCTTGACTACGGTCTGGCTGAACCACTCAATGAGACCATATTTGTTAAGATAACCAGCCATCGCAATGAGAGCAGCGAACCAGGTGAGTGTGTCCCATGCGACCGACTCAGCTAAGCACTCTTTCCATGTCACAACACCTGTCACAAGGAGGACTGATAATCCAAGAATGGCTGCAGTCACAGCATCTACACTCAACTTAGCTCCAAAAATCCAGAGACCAACCTGTGTCAAGGTAAACACTTTTTTTAGAAAAGGAAAATCTTGTGTCTCATAAAACACCAAAACAGATCATTTCACTCAAAGCAAATGCATTAAACAGAAGCAGAGCACTAGCTTAATCTAAGGAGCCACAATAGCAAAAAATTCTCCATGTTCATTACTGAAGCACCTTTCAAATCAAGCTCTCGCTATAAGTAAGAACAGAGCTCATGAAGCAGAAGCACACTTACCGTGAGGAACAAAGTGGCAGCCATAATCAACTCGTTCTTAGACATAGGTCCCATCTTGTCAAGCTTTTCCTGAGCCAGCTTGGGAGCATCAGGACTGCTCTTCACCGTAGGAGGATAGATAAGATACAAAAGAAACGGAACAACAATCAACGACACAAGTCCTGGTACAATCGCAGCTTTAGCCCAATCAGTCCATCCAATCGTCTGCTTAATCGTGTTAAACGCCAGATTAGCACTCAAAGGATTCGCAGCCATAGCCGTCAAGAACATAGAAGAAGAGATCACAGAAGTCTGGAAACAAGTGAGCATCAACCACGAGCCAAGACGGTGCTCAGTTCCATCCCCAACATTACTACCACAAGCAACACAGAGAGATTTAACCAACGGGAGAAAGATTCCACCGGCACGAGCCGAGACAGAAGGAATCGCCGGAGCTAAGAGAGCTTCACTGAAGACGAGACTGTAACCAAGCCCAAGCGAGGAGCTACCGAAGAGTCTAACGAACTGGTAAGCTACACGGTTACCGAGACCGGTTTTGATGAAACCGCGAGCGAAGAAGAAGGCGAGAGCGATGAGCCATGGGATTGGATCTCCGAAAGCGGAGAACGCGGCGGTGAACGTTAGGGTTTTGGTGAGAACGGAAGCTCCTAATCCCAATAGAGCAACAGCACCGAGAGGAAGCGGCTGAGTGATGATCCCGACGATGGTGGCGAGGAAGATCGCGAGTAATTGCCACGCGTTGCGAGTGACACCTTCGGGGACTGGAACGAACCATAGAATCAAACCAGTAGCGATCGATGCGATAAGAGGCTTAATGGCAGCTCCTTGCCATGGAACGGGAGCTGGAGCAACGGGAGGAGACGGAGAAGAGGAAGCTGAAGCGGCGGAAGAGGCTTTAACGAGATTTGATGATCTCCGGTTTAGAGCAGCGACGGGAAGTGGAGATTTGAGTAAGGAGAAGCGAGAATCGAGAGATCGGAGAGGTTTCGTCAAATTAAGAGAGGAAGAAGGAGGACGAAGGAGAGAGAGAGATCGAGATTTGAGAGGGAAAGCGAGAGAGCAGGAGCCGGAGAGAGCGAGAGACGCCATTGTTGTAGCGTCGTCGGCGAGAGGTGTGAAGAAGAGAGGGAAGAAGTGAAGAAGGAAATGAGTAAGAAGAGGAAAGAGAGAGTTGAATAAATGGTGACCGTTGGATTAGAATCGGACGGTGAGATGAAGAAAAAGGAATATACGGACAAGAGTTAGAGAGAGTGATGATGAGATACGAGAGATGAGATCGTGAGGTGGGAAATAGAGATCTCCGTCTTTGGTGGGTCACCTCATCCTATTGGCTGAAATATTTACGAAAAGCCATTTTGGGTTTGGTCTTTTTAGATCGACGAAACCTACAAAACAAAATCCTTCACTCAATCAAATTTTCTATTGATTTAGCTTTGTTTTGAAACTTCTTAAACTATGTTATGTTTACTAGTGTCCAATGAAAGATTAACTGGCAATACAATAGTAGCTTTCATTACATTGTCCTAGATGGGCCGAGATGGTTTCACTCACAATTGAATCTAGATTAATGGATGGTGGGTTTAATCTTCATTTGATAACAACATTGTCATTTAATTAGTTCAATCTTCTCCATTACTATTTGATTACATTTTTACCGAATAATAAAATACAAAATTCTTAAGTCTTTGCTTATGTTGGGTCTGACAACTAGAAAAATTAGAGTAATTTAATAGAAATAGGAAAAAAAATTCAGAAGAAAAATGTTTCTTCTCACATGAGAGAAAAAATCTTCTGTTTTACTTTACTTTTTACAGTTTTCAGCAGATAAGTTTTTCTTTTTATTTTTTTCTGATTGATGAAAATACAGAGGAATCTAGAAGAATAATTTTTCTTCACTTTTCTTTTCTTCTATAGATATCAACCAGTCATATGCGTTATATTAAATGTACGTGTTAATTATTTTTTATTATTTTTATTATATGATATATGGTTTACATTGACTAATCATTACACAAGGCACCTCAAGCCCTAGTACGAAAAGATTATTCAAAATACAATATACTCTCTAACTTTCATCTATCAATAACAATGTATGTATATTTGCATTTATGTGTGTGGCTAAGAATCTCGAGTATAAATCCGCAACAGAAAAAAAGAATAAGATGACGTAAAAATATTCATATGTTTTGTTTGAAGTTGAAGTAAAACGAAGGAACCTCAGTGTTCATCAACTGGTCAAGGTCCCAAAATTCTTCCACTGGTCTCATACTCTCAGGTACGCTTCCAGATCCATTAGTGTTCAGCTCTTCTAAGTGGTTATTAATATTTGCATTGTACCAATCACCTTCTTCACATTCCAAAGGTGGAAAATAGAGATCTCCTTGTACCCCTGCGTTTACTCCATAGATACCATCTACATAAGGGGTAAAATCGTCTTTGCACGGGTGGCTGATCATGTTTGCCGCTGGAAATGGATTGTTGCTTGGTATGTGGGTCAAGGAAGGGTTGGCGAAGCCTTGTTCTTGTAAGGACATGAAGCTTCCTATAATGTCTTTAAGATCCAAAGAAGAGGCGGAATTAGAAGAGGAGTCGCTTGTTGTGTTGGGGGATGAGGATGAGTTGTTGATGAGATTGGATGTATCAGACATCTTCTTTAGCCTTTTCTTTATTGTTGAGTTCCAAAAATTCTTGATCTCGTTGTCGGTCCGACCAGGCAATCGTGCTGCAATCTGAGACCACCTGTGAAACCGAAGAAGAAGAGAGTAGAATAGTTTAATGAGATGATGTTATGTAAAATGTATACAAGTGCATGGTTTGCATGGGAATATTAAAGAGTGAAGCAATACAACAATTATAAAATTGCACAATCATATTAAGCAATTTAAAGACATTGTACTACACTGCGTGTATTAATAGAGAGGAAAAATGCCCTGCGTAATAAATACTTAAGTTTATGTTTCTGAAGAAAGTGACAGGAAAAAAAGAACTAATAAATGTATGATTACAAAGATGAAAGTTGAAGTAAAACCCTAAGGAAGAGATAGAAAAGGTGGTAAAGAGACAAAAGCAGCTTTCACTAAAACAAGTGTTTGTTGTTAGATAAGATCATAAGACGCACTCTAAGTCTTAAAACCCACGATCAACGAACTTTGACCACTCACATAATTACATGTGAATGTACTCATACCTAATTTGGTTTTATGCGTCTATTTTCTATTCTTACTATTATTATTATAGTTCAACTTTCTCTTGAGTCAATTTTCTTCATAAATAATCATTCTGCCCTTTAAATTAAAACAGTTACTTATCGTGCCAATGAAAACTCAACCAAACTTCATATCCTTCCACGTAAGTTTGATTATACATTTTACGATGTTAAAGTATACTGTATATAGTTATTCAACTGCGTAATGTAATATTATTGAAAATTCATTCTTAAACCAAAGAAACAAAAAACTGATAACCCATGCGTATCAGAAATAATTAGGTTTTCGCCAAATTCCAAGAGAAATTAATAACAGGCATATATAGTGAAATAATTTTAATTATATACTTCTTTTAAACTTTTTCATACACACAAGAGTGAATCCTACATATATAGAGCTTGCTTGTGTAAAGTTGATCAAAATAGATAGCTCACTTCTTATTTAACTGGTACAAGAAATAATCAAATAAAATATGTTTAAAACATAATTCAAGATCTAATTCGACAATTTGGTCCTTTAAGGTGGACTTTTGTTTTAATTAAGTTGACTGGCTTTCTATGCTATCTACTTTGTACCCATTAACCGAAAACAAATTAAGCTACACAATCTTAAAAACAAGAATGTTATTTGCCAAGACATATTTATCCACTAGTTTGGTTATTTTATTTCATCTTTCGAAAAAAATTGTTATAATGTCAAAACAAAGATGATGGTAAAAATGGAAACCTGTTGCCGAGGATGGAATGAAAGCGAATGATGAGATCCTCTTCTTGAGGAGAGAAAGCACCACGCTTAAGGTCAGGACGAAGATAGTTGATCCAACGAAGACGGCAGCTTTTGCCACATCTTTGAAGGCCTGCGTTTTTCGCAACATCGCTCCAACATCCTTGTCCATTACTTAACATGTATTGCATAAGCTTTGAGTCTTCCTCTGGAGACCATAGACCCTTCTTCATCTTCTTTACTTGATGAGTACTAGCTGCAATGGCTACCTCTGGTTTCCTCATTTTTTTGGTTGAGTTAAATGTTATTAGTTCTCTTCAATGTGTTTGTCTTTCTCAAGGATCCATTGATGTGAACGAGTGAAGTTTATTTTATAATAGGGAGAGAAAAGAGAGAAGACTTGATGAAGGGAGAATGATGATGATGAGAAAGGGATGGTTGTATGGTTTGCTTACAATTCTGGGAAGAAAAACCATTTGCACTTCTTCCTTTTTAATCTCTATTCCTTAATTATATTAATTATTTTATATAACATATGGTGTGTTGCTTTGTTTTTTTTTTGTCAAAGGGTGTTGCTTTGTTTTAAAACATAAAAAAAACATCCGAACCCTGGCTCTTTTTTCAAATTAACACATTTTTAGTCAGCATATATTGTATAATATAAGGTAAATATATATGAAATACACCAACAACAAATGTATGTTTGTATATAACTAATTTGACGAAATGAAGAAACGTTAGTTGATCGGTCATGGACGAAAACGGTTTTGAAAAAGACCCGATATGCAAAACATCAAAGAAAAAAAGGAGAAGTGCTCTTCACTTGTTCTTTTTTTCTTTATCTTTTTGAATATATAACTCATTTCTATTAGTTTCTTCATTCACAAGGTATACATTACAGACATGTCTAATTCGTTAACCTTTTTTTTTTTGCTAAGGTAATTCGTTAACCTTACGTGTGTATATATATGATATATAACATTGATATATATATGTAACATTTATAATATATATTCATGAGCATGTCTATTTCTATTCAAAGATGTCTTCATTTTCAAGGTAAGCAAATGTTGAGTTATTTAATTAATTGTGTACGTATGTAAGCATATTTCGATTGTATAAATAGTAAATCGACGTGTGTCACATAACCCTTTTTTTTGTGTTATATGAGTCTTAGCGAGCAAGAAGTTTTGCTTCGGCTTCACACAACCACCTCTCGCGCACCAACACGTATACTTGAAGAAATCAAATTATTGTAATGAAGAAAATGTTATACTCCTTTATCCATATATTTTATATTCGTTTTTTTTATAATATAAACGTGTGTCATGATTTTTTAATTTCTCGATTTACACTCATATCATATGATTTATATTGTATTAATATATTTTGCCCACCCATCCGAAAAAACAGTAACTTTTTATACAATCATAAACAAAACATCCATAGATAAAGTACAAAAGAAGTTAGAAGATTGAATCTTGAACATAATTCCTAATGTAAAAGGCCAGAGATCTTAGCTTTTAGGGGAAACATTTGTTTTGTTGAAATCTCTTTGAAGCTTGCAACCTCTTGTATATAAAAGATAAAAGACGTCTGGTAACCAATTTGTAACTTAAACCTAGTTATGTAAAACTCGTTGTAAAAAGTTTTAAAATAACGAAATTAAATGCGAGATTTCATCGATCCAAATTTCAGAATCATGGTCTGCAAGCACATTAATCCGCTATTCACCATGTGACCTCTCCCTCCAAGATCTCATCTAATTAACCATTTGGTTCATGATATATCAATCATCTCATGCATACCCTAAGCTCTCAATTATGCTCGCATTTTACCCACAATGCATCACAATCTATGAAACTCATTTTAATCTTTACATTTACTTTTCGTAATTAATATCGCCCAATGACCAAAAAAAACCTCTGCAAAGCTGAACTCTTAGCCAAAGAAACAATCATTATTGGTAAATTGTTTATTTCTTTTATATTACTTTTTGCGATTCCTAGATCAAATTGCTACTTTTGTGCTAGTCTAGAGTCATTAAAATGAAATATGGAGGAAAGAATGACACAATCGTTCAACAAAATTTTAGAATATAAGTTTGCCATAGAAAACCTTGATAAAAATCTTAATTTACGAAAATCTCTTTTAGTGATTTCACAACTAAGCGTTGAATGGAGTAATATTATTACTCTTAAAAATATTAAAATTTAACTCTATGTTCTTAAAGACACGTCAGCTAAATCTAACAAGAAACCGTTAGTGTAACTCTAAAGTCTAAACACACAAAACAATCTCATTAAAATTAAAGTAACAATACAGTAGTGTGAGGTTAACAACTGTAGAAGTGTAGGGTCATGTGTATTGAACTCGTTTAAGACTGATAACGGAAGCCTCAAGTTTATTTATTTGAATGATGATTGTGCAACATATCATTTTCTTAAATGAAGACAAAGTGGTTACTAATTAGTAAAGCAATTATCACCCATGAGAACTGAGCCCCAAATAAAGGAAATTAACAAACTACCATTGAATCAAAGCATTAGCTTAAACTTGAATCTTACTTTACAGGGTGATGTATCTTAACCTATAATTTTATATATGTCTTATATATCATTTTTTTTAAAGATAATTAAAAGTATCACTTCAGGGTTCTATCTTTTTGGTGACAAAATCTAATTAGTTAATCATTATGCATTACATGAAAAATGTGGTGACACTATAGTTTCTGATTAGATTGTCTTTGAAGAAACAAAGAGAAAATGGACTTCATGCTCTTTCAATTATTTCACAATCGGACAGTTCCATATATACATTACCAGCAATTGTGAATACATTACCTAACCCAGCCCGTTCTGTTGGGTCGTAATCTAAAAAAGAAAGTTTGAATTGGTAAATATTTTTGTCATCGAAGTTTCTTTCTTTAGAAAACAAATGGTGTAGGGATATTTAATATTAGCTGATGATTAGAGACATAAAAAAAAAAAAAAAATCAGTGCAACAAAAAAGTCATAGAAGAAGAGTTAATAATTTCATAGAATTATTAGCTGTTAACAGCTAATAAATTACATTTATTAAAGCTGTTGTTTTTGTTTTATTTGACCTTTTATTGTATTTGCTTTGAAGCGGTGTTATTCGATTTTATACTATCTAAGATATATAATAAAATAAAAGATGTCAAAATATAACAAAATTGGTTTCTCATCATCACCTAAAACCTACAGCTAAACCGCGTCGGCAATAAATCAAAACAGTCGGTCAACGCAAAGGAAAAAGTCATTGGGTAATCAATAATTCATACTTCAATTTCTTTCAACAAAAACGTTCCATAGCTAAACGTAGTAGGGCACCACTAAGTTTATTTTCACTAAGTTCAATGTAATTCATTATTATTTCCAAACAACGATTTACAAAGTCATTGTGTTTTCACTAGCTAGCCATATAGCTTGTCTAGGTTAGATAAATCAAGTTTTAAAGTAATCTACAGAATTGAAAAAGAGCCTAAACCCGCAAATTTGATAGAACTATTTCTAAAACACTTTTTTTGGGTAAGTTATACATTCATAAACATCGAACAGATCTCCTAACGTACAATAACAAAGTTGTAATCCAATAATAACTTCATTATTTCAAAGAAGAGACTAGTTCTATAACTACTGCAACAATTCTGTTAATTATTTCATCTTACATAACGTGAACAATCGAAATCTGCATACTTTTCTCACGGTTACTTGGAAAACAGGCCACTAGTTTTTAATGTTACATCAAAAAATCAAAAGGAAACAAAATATAAAAAAGAATAGTTATAAAAATAAAACTCAGATCAATTGACGTACTGCACTGTGTTCATCGATGATAAACTGCAGAATCTGAATCTGTAACCGGAGGCGGCGAGAAATAACGGTAAGGAGAATAAGTGGTTGGAGGAGATGGAGCTTTGTACTTGTAATGAGGGAACTTATGTTTTGATGATGAGACAGAGGAATAACCATACGCTGCGGCAATCATGGTGATGACGACGGTGAGAACCATCAGGAGGATAAGGCGTGTAGGCCATAAACGTTTCATCTTCGAATCGCACAAGAGAAATTGATCAACTTTATTATTGCGGTGAAGTTTAAATAATTATATAGACCACTAGCTTCGTCTCGAGGGTTAGATAAATAGATGGCTTGATTATATATATAGGCAATGGTTTATTTTATCAAGTCAAAGGTTTTGGTGTTATCATATGGAATCTAACAACACGGCAACTTTTTTTTTTTAATTATCTCCTAGTGCTACTTGTATTGGGAGAAGTTTGACGAAATTACTTAAATTGGATTTAAAAAATCGTTAGAAACTAATTTGCAGATAGCGTACAAAATAAAGATACGGTAAAATCTTTTTTATTTTTTTTTGGTTCTGTGAATAAGTTGTAAATTGGATCAAGAAAAGGGATTAACGTATATTCTATGGAATAATATATTTTGGATATATATCGTTTTATTTGACTCTTTATCTTTATTTTTAATTGTTTAGACTACAATTTTGTAATTATTTTCCATGTTAATAAGTTTTCTTATTATTTATTCTATAGTCTTGATATGAAAACTTTTTCGGTACGGTTGAACGTTTGACAAGGGTTTAGACGTTTAGTGATCAACTGATCATTCATTATAGGTTTGGAGTTCGATTATCTCAAATTATGTAAAGATTAGCTCCTCTATCACAACACCAGTGTGGTATAACTACCGGTCATGGTTTTATTCATTTTATCAATATGTGATTTCAAATAAGACGTTTACATAAACCATCTACTGTCTTAATTCTCCTATTTTTTGACCATTGCTTGACCAAGAAACTCTTTCAAACCAATGACAGAGGAACCATTAACTCCATCTTCCATTGCTCTCCTCACTAGTTCCTTCACCTCTCTAGCCTTTTTCCTAATCTCTTTCCCTACTTCAGTCTCCTCCATCACCAATTTGATCTTAGAAACAATCTCATCACATTTGATATCACATCTCTTCCCACGCGCCACCTCAACCGATACCCCAATATGTTTCTCCATCAATATCGAATTGAAGAATTGCTCGGCTGCCATCGGCCAACCGAGCAATGGCACACCGTGGCTAAGCGATTCAAGTATAGAGTTCCATCCACAATGACTCAAAAACACACATGTTGCCTTGTGTGACAATATATCAACTTGTGGTGCCCATTTCTTCACAATCAACCCTCTTTCTGATCTTGTTATTCTTTCCTCAAATCCTTCCGGTAGATACTCTTTCACATCAAACTCACTCTTCACCTCCACACCTATCGGCGGTCTCACTACCCATATGAAGTTCTTCTCGCTACTCTCTAATGCCATAGCCAATTCTAACATATGCGTTTGCAAAATCGAGTTCATTGAACCAAAACATACGTAGACAACCGAATGGTCCGGTTTTGAGTCAAGCCATGCCTTCACTGCTTCCTCTGTCGACTTTGTTCCCACCTTCTTGTCAGGAGAATTCAAAACCGGCCCAACTGGCCAAACCGGAACACCGGTTATTCTACGGAAGTAGGACAATCCGATCTGATCGATTTCCGCAACCGTGTTGAACAAGAATCCATCGAAATCAGACCATCCAGGTATAGTCTTCTTCATGAAAACAGACCAATCATCGCTTCCATCAGCTTCTAACATGAAAGAATTCAACTGAGTTTTCTCAATCTCCCCTGCTTCTGGAAAATCATCTAAGAGAAACTGATCTTGTTTGGTTTCTTTATGTGGCAAGTTTAACCATATCGATCTATAACAACCTAACCCAAAAGCACCAGAAGCACTAAAGATCACTGAATAAACACCAATCTCTTTGCAAACCTTACCGATCCAACCCAAGAAGAAATCACCGATCACCATAACCGAGCTCTGCTCATCATCTCCTTCCTCCAAGATCTTCTTCATCAAGTCTCGAAAGGGCTCACGAAGCGACCTAGAAGCTTCAAGAAGGCTGATGACGAGAGAGTAAGGAAGAGAATCGAAATTCTCGGCGTCGTGAGGAAGGCCGTGATCGGAGCTGTTGAAAGGTAACTCGATGAGGCTTATGGAGGATTCAGGAGGAAGATTGGAGCGTATTTTGGGGATGTTCAAAGGAGTATTGATCATAGAGATGATGGTTTTGTTGGCTCTGTTCATCATCATCGTTTCTAAACGAAGGGCTAAAGCTACAAAAGGGATGATATGGCCTTGTGCCATGAAAGGGAACATCACGATTCTCAGATTTCTGGGTTTAGCGTCCGCCATTGCAGAGAGAGAGGAGAGAGATTTGGGGTTGTATTTGCCGTATCGACAACGGTTCAGATTCAGACAAGAGAAAATGTGTGTTTTTGGTCTGACAATAAAGACTTAAACAGAGTTTCAAGATTGACTACATTTATTTATTTGTCACTTTTTAAGGAAAGGGGCTTTTGGTAAAATCAGGTTTCCATACTTTTTCTTCTTTTCCTCTCTAAAAGAAAAAAAGAACTGGTGGCCTTTTTTGTTACTCTCTTGAACTTTTTTTTCCTTATTCGTCCATATTGGGATAAACGTGATGAATTTTTTAAAAAGTTAGGCATGAATTCATGAATCTACTTGTAAGAATATATTTTATTCATTATTTCATTGTATCAAATTTGGTTTTTTCTTGGGATAAATAACAACTCATTGAAGTTCATTAAACTGAGATAAACGCCATACAGTTGAAGAACTTATGTACAAATGATTATCAGATTATGGACATAAGTTCTTATCTTATGTACATACCAATAATCATTTTTACTACCTGCTATAGAATAGAGGTCCACTAATATAATTTTTTTTTGGGCCTTACACACAAAAGATATTGAAGCAAAAAAAATAAGTAAATGGGCCTTTCTATACTTGTTAGTTGTTGCCCACATCTAATGACCGACCTTTCAGCCCATGTGTCTCCTTCGTTATCTAAGTGCTCACTTTCTCCTTCTTCTAAATCTAAGTTTTGCAGTTCACCAGTTTTCTATATTTCTCTCATCTACTATTGGCATTGTTTTGGTATTTTAACCTAGTTTATATAACACGACAACATCACAGCTACAAACGACTAAGCTACAAGCCTCAAGTCTCCATCATTTCTTCTAAATCTATAATATTAGTTAGCCTATTGATTTACCTACCTAAATCACAAATATGCATCAATACAATGTAAATATACAAAATCTCCTCGACAACTAGCATTTGACAAAAGTTAAAAACCTATAACATTTTTAACAAAGACAAATGTAAAAAGATCACTGAAGCCTAGGTAGAAACCACAAGAGATTAACAATAAGAAAAGTTAATTAAGAAGCAATCAATTTTGATTAGACTAGAGTGAGTGTGACTCTCTTCAGTTCAGCTCAATGACTTGTACCTGCAAAGAACCTTACATCTCAAAACCCTATCTTGAACATAAAACCCAGGCATCACCATAACCTTAACTCGTGCCGGTCCACGGGACGATGCTGATCTCTGCCTATCTGCACCCATATCTTCCATAAAACTCGATTCAAACTCTCTGTTCTCCTCAACTCTCAAGATCCCTAACGCTGGATTGAACGAGAAGGCAAGCAAATGAAGCAACCATACACATTTTGCAGCCACAAAGAATGCTTGAAGCATTTGTTCTGACCAAGGTCTTGTCCAATTCAATGTTGTAATGATCAAACTCATCTTCTCATCGCAGAATCTACTGAACTCATCACTGTAGTATTTTGTACCCTTTTTCAATACCTCGTTCCAGCTCAAGTTTCTCAAAGAAGCAAATGACGAGAAATTCGCTTGTCTATCTTGTTCCGGATCAAGCAGTTTCGGCTTACCGTTCTTCTGGAATACGCAGTTCTCAAAGTCTTGGTAAACCGATTGGCTTATGATCGCTTCTAAGTGGTACTGAATGATTTTGGAGTACTTAGAGGTGAATGACAAGTTGTGGGGTTGAAGGAGAGTGTTGATGTTACCAATAAGAGTCGAGTCTTCTTCGTCGATCTCTGAAACTAATGTTTTCAAGAATTGCTTTATCGATAATCTTGCTTCCGATACAATCTGCAAGAACCCTTCAACCATCACTTCTTCACTCACTGGCATCTCTGAGTTCTTCTTCCCAGAGCTTCTTCCAACACTATTCTCCTGTGACACTACTTCTGTTGCTTCTCTCAAAGCTTTCTTTAAATTGTCACAGTAACTTTCCAAGTACTGAAGCTTCTCACTTAACTCTCCCAATGAAGATTTCATCTCTAAGACTTGTGTTAACGCAGCATCCCTACTTCTGTTTGCTTCCATCAATTCTCTCTTTAACTTCTCAACACCCGAACCCGAGTCCTTCAACACCTCAGAAACTTCCTCTGATTTCTCTGTTCTACTAGGTGAGTTAAAAATCGAATTGCTCTTTTGCTTTCTCTTTAACTTAGGGAATAACCAAGACATCACTCTACCTCCACGGTTTCTTGGCTGAGAAGAAACAACGGCAGAGTGCGAATCCGTCAAGGGCACAACAAGATTAGAGTTCTTTAAGCTCTTGGTATCAAAACCTCTTTGTTTATTGTAGTCATTGCAAGAAGAGACCGATCTAAAGTCAACCGAGCCACAGTTGCTTCTACCGGTTGTATAAAACTGTAATGGTGGAGACCTGAGAGCGTCCGACATCGTGTAAACATGATGATGAGAATCTTGATTAGGCATCACAGTCTTTCTTGTAGTTGAGGTTTTGTAAGAATCAGAGAGATAAGTATCTCCATCTACTAAACCAACACCATCTTCATCCCAAGTCTCAGATAAAGTGAGATTCTTGTGATGAAATGCAGACACAGGCTCATCTTCATAGCTCTGTTTCAAAACACCAATAGACACGTTAGCAGAGAAATGTGTGCAAGGTAAAAAGCACAGTAACTTTTGTCCAAATTCAGTACAGTGTGTCAGCTAAAGACAAAAAAAACAGTGGTTCTCTACCAAATTCAGGTCTTTTCTGTTTGTCTTTATACTTTCAACACTGAACAGTGGTTAAATTATTAAAGGGACTAACCAAATTATTTAATGTATTTTTGACATTTTTTCGAAATAATTAACCGCCTCTTTAAGATCCAAAACACACAACGACATGGTACAATAAATTAAGAAAGATATGATCTTAATTGGTTACCGAAATGCAATAATTAACGAGCCTGAACCGGGTTTAACCAAGTAAATCTCGGGTTCGATGAAATTATTAAAAATGTTTTAAAAAACTCCAAAAGCTTTTGAACAAAACCCAAATTCCCATACATAATGTCGAAAAATCAATCAAGTAAGACACAAGAAAAAGTGGACAAGCTCATGGAACCAAGAAGCATGATAGTGAGAACAGAGAAAAGAGAGAGAGAGAGAGAAGTTACAGGAGTGAAAACAGGGTAATCATGAGCAGAGAGGTTAGGGAGAGGACGAGAAGCTGGTGAAGCAGCAGAAGAGGAAGAAGGGTTTCTGAGACTGTAATTGGAAGATGGGCTTGACTTCATCTGCATAAGACTCGCTTGAAGTGCTCTCACTCTCACTCCATTTGCTATGGCTTCTTCTTTTTCTCTTGCCTTGTTCATTCTTGTTTCAGAAGAAGCCATGGTAGAACAAGAACAAGATTAGAAGAGAAAGAGAAGGATGTGACACAAAAGAGAGAGAAGAGATAGTGAATGCGATTGTGCAAGGAAAAGGGTGTGATGAGGATGATGTCTCTGTGTGTGTGAAGAAGAGAGAGAGAGAATGAGAAAAAATCCAAAGAATGTTCTGTCTCCCTTCTCTTAAAAGGACTGATAGAAAGAACGCATGTGAAGGGCAGAGACCATTTTTTATGTTTACTATAATGCCCTCCCTTTTTTGTTTCTTTTCATTTTTTTCTCACTTTTCTCATTTGGTTACTATGGTATCATATCAGACTTATTGAACAGTTTACAAAACCTAATTCCAGTTCTTTTACATAATTGCTATCTTATCCACTGCGAAACACATTTCCACTACTGTTTTATGTTGTTATTAATTGTAAATCAATTTGTTTATCTGAAACCATGGTTTTCTATAAGTTTTGTTGTATCTTTGGGATAAATGGTTAAAAAATTTGTTAAATATAGATTACTGGATTTGTTTCCATCCATACCTATATTATTAAAAGAAAAACAAGAGTATGTGGTTTGTTCTTACCGGGAATTCAATTACTAAATAGATATGGTTTATTCATTTAAAAAAAAAAACTAGAAAATCTAAGTTAAACTTTATACATTTATACTAAGAAAATAGGAAAAACTAATTAGGGATAAAATCTATTTATAATCAATAGAAAAAAGTAAGCATTGAAATTATTATGTAGAAACACCAAAAAAATAGAAATGATATCCCGTTATATATTGAAAATTTGAATATAATAAAGATTTTCAAATTATGTATACTTAAAAGAATCATACTGTAGTTTGTTGACAAAAGAAAAGTCATAGTCTAATTTTAGGAAAGGTATCTCATAAATGATAAATGATTAAGATGATGTCTTTCAAAAGTAACACACATGTCATTGGAAACTATATCAAGGATCAACTCAACTGTTACAAAATCTATAGCAACCACTTAGAGACCTCAAGCAAAATAAAATGATTCTGGTTTATATTCAAGTCAACATCAATTTGATAATATTAGTAGGTCATATCTTAGAAGAATGGTTAAATTACAAAAAGAAATAGGCCATACCTTAGTTAAAAAAGCTAAGATGACTTTCTGACAAAATCAATTTTGTTTAGTAGAAGATAGAATTCCGTGTGGGACTGATCATTTTTTTTTTTTTTTCACTGAAAGATTTCATTATATAATACAAAGGACGGATACAAGGGTGGAATGCGTTTTTGGACTGATCATTTCTTAAGAGTTGTTTTGCAATAATGTTTGTAAAGTCGAGTTGTTTACATCAGCAAGAGAAGAAGAAGTCAAGAAACTAAGAAAAAAGGATTACACTGTGTTATTTATTTAATGATGAGAAAATCATTGTTAAGTAATTGTGCTTAACTTTCAAAACCAAACCCACCAAACCCACCAAACCCATATATAAAGTACAAATAGCCTAACCTAATAAAGCGTTTTGAAAAAAACCTTCCACATGCGTTAAAGTATGTAATGCCTTATAGCCTTTTTGCCTTTTTTCTTGCGAATGAACCGTGCATTTGTTTTTTCTACACTTCTTTATTTCCATTTATATAAGGTTTATCGTTTCTAAACATATTTCTTTCAACAGTCTCAAAATGTAATCAGTTGGGGTTTTTGACTTCTTATCCATAGTATTCTAGATTCTTAGAGTTGATGTTAGAAGTACAAAAATTTAAGAGAATTATAATAGTTACTATTTTCCCAAGTCCCAACATGATTGGATTGTTTCTAGTGTTAAGCACGTTTAGAACAATTTTTTTTTAATATACGATTACTGAAAAAGATTTGTAGTACCGCACAAAAATGGATATGACCAAGCTATCTTATTATATTTTCTATAAATATCATGTTTACTTATGTTATAGAGTGCAAAAATAGTCTTTTATCTACTCTACTTAAAAATCACCTGATTCACTTTCATTCAGATCCAGCACAAGTATAGACCTACTAAACTATGGGCTTTTACATCATTGTTCTATCTACCGGGCCATACATGCAATTAAAGATCTATTGAAGCATTATAGTTTTGAGGATAGGTTTTGAAAAAACCTAGATAGAAACTTTATAGGTAAGTATTTATGAATCATTATTGGTGTGTTATGCGACCTTAAGATGGGTTAGTTTTTGTAATTCTATCATAGTAGTTTGCATTTCTGGAAGTTATAGAGCCGGCCTTGAGGGCAAACAAATAAAGTATGTGTTTGCGGCCCTCAATAGTATAAGTAAGTTTTCTGTCCATTTTTCACAAAATTTTCTTTAGATCAGGTAGTGTACATAATTGTATACGTGAAAGTGTAGGGTTCGAAACTCACTTTTATAGTTTTACCTCATTTTCTTACTTTTTATTTTAGTTGATTAATTTTTTTTTGTTTAACGTCTGAATTTATTATTAGTTGCTTAATTCATAGGCCCAATATGATTTTTTTTCTTGTAGCCCATATATTTTCAGGGCCGGTTGCAAACAGATCTCAACGGAGAGAAGATATCAACCGTTGGTTGTGACTTGTGAGACTAATCGACGGTTGTTTTAGTTTTGAAAGGTGAAAGCAAATCAATGATCTATATTTATCGAGCGTTGGAGCTGAAACTAATCGACGGTTGTTTTAGTTTTGAAAGATAAAAGCAAAGAATGGTCTATATTTGTTAAATCATTATTCATGCGGATAAGAAAATCTTAAAATTCCTTTTAACTATAGTTTCTTCCTAATTTTCATGTAGATTCTCCACAAATAAATAAATGTCTTATCCCACAAACTCTCAATACATATCTTTCACAATCAAAACTTTTTTACATATCAAAGTGTATTTGCTCACTATGGCTCGTTCCAAGCAGACAGCTCGTAAGTCAACAGGAGGTAAGGCTCCACACTTTGCCATGAGGGTAATGCAACAACACTCAACTCCGACGCTTAAGAAACCATATAGATACAAGCCAGGAACAGTGGCCCTCAGAGAGATCAGGAAGTACCAGAAGACCACAGACTTAGTTATAAGAAAACTCCCTTTCCAAAGATTGGTGAAAGAGATAGCTCAGAGTCTCAAGGCAGATCTAAGGTTCCAGGCCGGTGCTGTTTCCGCTCTTCAAGAAGCCGCTGAAGCTTTTATGGTTGGAATGTTTGAGGACAGCAATTTGTGTGCCCTGCATGCCAAAAGATCAACTATCATGCCTAAAGATATCCAGCTCGCTAAAAGGCTTCGAGGCGATAGGGTTTGAGATCATAACCTTGTATTATTTTAGTTTTCGGGATTAATATTCCGATTCAAATGTACTTCTAAGCTTATTAGAAAGAAATAAAATGTTCTGAACTTAATAAATTTAAATTCCATCCGACTGTTCGTTCTGAGCTGAAGAAATAATTGTTGCATGTTTACATTTTGTGGTTTTGATTCACACTGTTTTTGGAAATGAATCTAGCAAAATAAGTATAAAACAATAAAAATACACAACAAGAAAGAGCATTTTCAATGTTGTGATGAGTATACTCTTTTTGGAACACCCATTTAAGCAAAACTTATATTCATACATAATCTCGTGGATGATTTCTATGTTACAAACCTAAGCCCAGTCCAGCTAGTAGATGCTACAGTTCACCTTCTGCAGTTTCTGATGAAGATGAGCAATGCCTCTGCGCGATCACCAGCAAAGACGAATTCTGCAGAATCACCATTTCCATTCAGAAAGTGACTTATAATGCACAATGCCAATTACACTGTTCTATTACTAATACCAAACAACAAGTCCATTTGTTTTATTAGCTAGGCACTACTACAACTAATCCAAAAGACTAAAATTGATTAAGATCAGCAAAGCAAACTTGAATACCTGAGTTCCAGCTACGATCATGCCGTTGAGAGGATGTGCAGCACAACCTGTGACAGTTTCAGACAATGAAACAAACTTGTTACTGTGATTACATTTGTCTCTCTTCTCGTTTCTCTGTGTATCCTCACTGCAACAATTTATTAGAATTATCAGGAATGTAGCCATGAAGTTTAGAGAAAACATCAGATATATCGGAACTTTTCAAGTTCTTACTCGTAGTCAACGTGACAAGGAGACCTGGAGCTTGGATGGAAATCAAGAACATGAATTCCTTTCTCGCTCATGGACCCAACAACATAAATCTGCAATATATATCATATAAGATAATAAGCCAAATAAGATCGGAAAATCTTCACTTATGACCGTTAATGGTAGTACAAAGTGCAGGGCTTACAGATGATGCTGGCAGCCATGATGGTTTCCGCAAGATTAAATCAGCTGAACTGTCGGAACCATCCCTAGTGAACCAAAATCAGACATTACTAAAGCATTTTCTTTCCCAAGTGTACATCAATTTAAATGATTCTTGTTACAAATTAAGATTGAAGTTCCTGAGTTTGCTTATAAACTTACAACCAAGCTGGGGGAGGGCAATGTACATGAGTAACTTCAGATTTATATATGTCAAGAACACCGGACCTGCACTAGAGATATCCACCAAAGGAAAATGATAAATGATATAAAATCAACGAAACAGCACATGAAAGTAATATTTTGTTTAATCGTTTTTCCAAAATGAAATGAGCTGTTATGAAAGAATGACTTACCAACCATCGTCAAGGTGAAATGCAAGTTGATGAGGAGAGGACGGGTTTACATTAATGGAATGGATTTCCTTGGGCAAGATTTTTGACTGTGCCTGCAAAGGATACATGCAAACTTTTTCTAATGCTGCCAATTTCAGTATGATCAACTGCTGGAAGTTTCAGAGGTAACATGATTCCCACATTACAAATTCTTATTTAAAAAAAACAAAGAAGCAGAACAAGGTTACTTGAACGATGGGCGATGGCACAAGTGAGATAGAAAACAAAAGACAGAACTTACCTTCAGAGATGCAATCTTCTGCAGCATCGGTGCGAGATGTAGAGATGCTAAAGGCAACTGGCTCATCTGAATGTTACCAATATCAAAACGTGATTAGAGCCAGAGAACACAAGAATGAAAGGTAAATTCACCTAGATATTACAGATGAAATATACTGCCATAGCCAATTCCAGCTCGCCCCTTGTAAGACTTACATCTTTGCGGCTCTGAAAAGCAGAAGAGTTTCTTCCTCCACGAAGGTCCCAGATATGAATGATTCCTTCTTTACCAGCTCCAAAAATAGTCTACATGGTAGATGAAAGAAACGCAGTCTAAAACTTTGGGTCCTTACTAAATTCGAAATCAAAGTCTTACTGCAATTTCAATGATTAGAAGAACTTTACTGGGCTTGGGGATATCTTATTCTATGATTACCTGATTATCCACATATATTTGAATACTCTTGATTGAATCATATCTGTCTGTTGAAAGTTCAATGCATGGAGACACTCCTGCTCTTCTATCCCACACATGAACCATACCAAGTGTATCTGGAGAAAATATTCTGCATAAACAACAGATGCAGAAAAGTTGCTGAAGAAAGTAGGTACAATGAAGCTATAAATGTTTTTCATCACAGGGAAGAGCCATTCTACAAACCTCGAATCCTCATCACTAGTCATGGCAACATCAGATAAACCTCTAGAAACTTTGCGGCCAATAATCGATAGCTTCTGTCTAGTTTGCAATACCTGAATCACAAATAGAAAAATAATTGAAATGTGGGTGGAAGGATATGAATATTTAGCAGGGCTAGCCTAAGTAGACCAGACTAAAACTAATGATAAATTGATAAGTCTTACCACGGCCATGTCAGTGGCCGTGTCATTTCAATTAAAAATTGACTGCCTTTTCTTATAATCGTAATGGGAACAATACATACACTATTCGGAAACCATGTTGGAAAGGGAATTTTGCTATGCCTAAGATAAAAATACGGCGATACATCTGTGTTTCTTGTTTCTAATATATAAAATATAAAATGAGCTTACAAGAAGAAAACCTACCTAAGTCATGATGATGCAGTCACACGAGTTGTAACCAGAAACAATTGCCATTTGACAAACAACCATATAACTGATATCCATGTGATCTCAAAGTCAGAAATCATACCTCAGTTGGTTTGGGAGACATGTAACTGATATCGAAGATAAGCACTTGATCATGTTTCCTCGATGTGCAGGCTACCTATAGGAACTATAATTGCTCAATAGAAATGTTTTTAACTGAGGTTTTAAGAAAAAGAAGATGTCAAGATGGGCATTGTATTGACTATTGAGCATATACCTCATTCTGGTTTGAAGGATTCCATCTAGCGACATCGAATTCCCTTCCGGGAGGGTAAGAAAAATGCACAACATGCTTACTTTCATCTTCCGAAGAACCTAAGATTGATGACTCAGGATTCAAAACTGTAATGAATAAAGTTACAAAAACTTGTACAAGAAGCACACTGTGAGCAGACAGACTATAAACGTATGATCCAGAAACACCACCATCATTGATATCTAAAAATATTATAAACCTTGCTCATATAGACTTTAGTTAAGGAATATCATTGACAACTGGTGTTCAAAAAATGGGAACTTTATTCTCAGTTACAAGACACTTGAGTATTTAAGACTGAAGGTTGTTTAGCCTTGCCAAAAATTGAACCCTTCACAAATAATGAGGAGCTGTGCACTATACCAACGTAAATACAAAGCTCAGGCAAAAATTGCTGCCACATTTGCGTGAGATTTGAGTGAAATCAACTTTAATTTGAAATGAATGCTTAACTAAAACTTGGAAACCATTACAGCTCTGAACCAAAGACAAAAGAAAAGCTTTTTGAATAAAGAGACACCTAGAAAATGAGCATAGATCAAAGCTTCACCTGGGCCAACCTTACTCTGGCAATATAGAGATTCAAAGTCATGCACCATCAAGCATCCTGATCTTGTGACAGACACTATGAATATACCCTGGATACAATACCTTTACCTAAGAAATGGTAACAAGAGAATCGAAGGCAAAAATAACACAAGGACTCGAGACATCCTATATCTCAAGAGTAAACAGACATAGATCAGTAATGATGAACATCTACGGAAACAAGAGCAAAAGTATTGATGAGAACTAACCCGGTTATCAAAATCTAGTCCTGCAACACCTCGCCTGGATAATCATGGAAAAGGGTCCAAATGAATCAAATAACAATCAATCAGTTATTATCAAACTAAGCTTCAAATTCTACACACTCAAATACTAACATTGTCGGGCAATGATATAGGCGTTGGACCTCCCTCATCTGAAATACAAACTCTTTAGCTCTCTCGACAAGAATATTTGAAAAATTCAAAATAAACCAGATGAAAAAATCTTACATGGGTTACACATGGGTTCTCGTTCAAGTGATAAAAATGTGAAAATTTCCCAATCTTCGCAACAAAACAAAATCCAAAATTACCAAAATTTAAAGGAGAAATAGTCGCAGGATAAATAAGGCTGAAAACGAAGGGAGTGTGAAACCTCCAAGTAGGAATGAGAAACTAGAGAATAGAGTTCGTGTCGGTAAGCTGACTCCAATCGTCCAGTCACTTCGATTAAAGATCGCTTCCATGGCCGCCTTCAAGGGGAAAAATCGCCAATTGATGAACAGAGAAGATGAGAGAAACAAATACTTAGTAAATCGAATTACCTGACCGTCGTTGTAGATTTTGCCGGCGATGACTCCGGCGAAACCAAGTATTTCTCCATTGATTTTGACCTCGACTGATATAATTTGGGGATTCTTAAGTTAATTTTCCCGCCATTCACTTCTGGGTTTTAAGTCCATAAACTACTCCAAATAAAGCCGGTCTAACAAATTATTATGGACCGAATTTATAAGCCCAAATATTAAAGGCCCATTGGAAAACTCTAACTACTTGAGTTTATTTCTCCTGTAGATGATTTTCGTTTCCTTGATTTCCAAGCTTTAAATCTCGAATTCTTCTCGACCTCACGCGGCAGTTCTCGCAGTGTACCTTCCCGGCTGAGGTACGGTTGTTCTTATCAACTTCTTTTTCAATAGATTTGGAAGTTTTGTTGGGGGAGATTGCATAAGCCAATAATTTTGGATCAATGAAAAAAATTGAAATTCGGAGAATCTGATTTTGATATTCATGGTTTTTTTCAGAATTTATCTACGAATCTGACTTTAATGTTTATATATATATATATATATTTTTTCCAATTTTGTAGAAAAAAATGTCCACTCCGATGCAGAATGATTTGCATTTGGAGAAAGACAATTCAAATCAAGCTCCGGCTGATGTAGCAATCGTTGCACCACCTCGAGAGATCAGAATTCATATCGATAAAATAGCACGTGTGGTTGCCCGGAAAGGGTTGAGGATAGAGAGAAGGATCATGAACGTTAGTGAGATTCCCTCTAAATTCGACTTTCTGAAAAAGTCAGATCCTTATCACGCATATTACAAGCACAAGGTTACTGAATACCTTGCTAAGAATCAAGATGAAGGAGCTCAGGATATTCATCAACCTGAAGCTCCAGCTACTCTTAAAGGTGATGCACAACACTATCTCCGGCCTCTTCCTTTAAGGGATCCGGCTTCCAAGTTCCCAGATTATGTTCTCCCTGAAGGATATACTATAGAGGATCTTGATACTATTATTCTCACAGCGCAGTTTGTGGGTCGGTACGGGGCGGAATTTTGGTTGGATTTGATGAAGGAAGTGGATAACAAACCTCAGTTTGAGTTTTTGAAGCCAGCTGACAGCAAGTTCGATTATTTCAATCGGCTTTCTGTTGTGGCTTCGGAAGGACTAAAGCGATCCGAAAAGCTGACTAGTTCTCGTATGGCGATTGTTATTAAGGCTTTTTTCTACCATCTTCGTCGTAAAAAGGAAAAGCGGGTGTTGAGCCACAAGGAGGGAGCGGCAAAGGCTAGTACTGTGTTTGGTGCTTTGTATGCTTTTGTGGGTGCTGATGGCTGCTTTGCTGACATCAAGGACGAAGATTTGCCACTACTTCAACACCCTTCAACGATCAAGAACATACTAACAAAGCTGCAGCCTCGTATGCCTCCACTGGGATCTCAGCTTGGTTGGGAACCAGAGCCAAGGAGACAAAAGTTTGACGAGTCTGTCCTTGTTCCAGAAGACCAGTTTCTTGCTCAACATCCGGTGATGTTTTCTTCTGACTCTTGCATTTCCTTTCTCTGTTATTTTTCCCCCTCTGACTTGACTCTGTACTCTGTATCTAATTAGGAGTAACATACATTTTCAGGGTTCCTCAACGATCATGGTTTCTGTTCCAGACCTCGATGATTGGAAAGTCGTTGAGATCACAGTGCAGTCGCTATCGGAAAACGTGGCAAGTTTGAAGGAGAAAATATCTGGGGAGATCCAATTTCCTGCAAACAAACAGAAGTTACGTGGAAAAGCCGGATTCTTAAAGGACAACATGTCGCTTGCACATTACAACGTGGGAGCAGGTGAAATCTTAACACTGTCTTGGTGAGAACGCAGGGAAAAGCTTTTCACTGGGATCTCAGCCAAAACTATAAACAAAAGCTTGACGAGTCAGCTCTTGTTTCAAAACTTCGAAGGAGAAAATAATTGGGGGGGCGGTCTAAATGCTAGCAAGCAACACATAAGTTAAGTGGGAGAGCCGGGTTTTAAAAGGACACTTGCAACATTACAATGTGGGAGCAGGAGTGTGATGCTCATGTCTCACGTTTAATCAGAGAAAAGATTCAAAAATCTTTTAAGCATTTCACATGACTCCCAACTCTTGCATTGAGAGAGAGAGAGAGTCAACCATATTGAGATATTAGAAGATCAAGTTTGTGTTTGCCTTTTGGTCTTTTCTTCTTTCGGCTTAACATTATTATTACATTAGCATAAAAGAAAAGCTGAGTTTTGTGAGAGCTATTGATATGAATTCACCATTCTCAAAACATAATTTTTTAGTATATTATACTTTTAGCTACAATATAACTTAAATTCCGAAGCACCTACGCACAGTACTAACATCTGGCAGCTGGTTCTGCACTTCAGTCATATGTCAAACAGGTCCAGTCATAACAAACTGAAACAATTTTAAATCTGAACATAGCAATGGATCTCTTATCTTAACATTTTAAGTCCAATCCAATGGTAACTGATACTTACCAGTTACCAGTTACCAGCAGACCAATACTTACTAAACCCATCTCTTATGTGAACCAGAGGAATCTCTTGGGGTGGTCTGAATTGGCCTTCTAGGTTTCCTTGAATCACCTGTAGAAGAACCTCGTCTCATCCTTGAAGAAGAAGAGGAAGAAGAAACTGAAACAGGCTTCCGAGTAGTCGATGGACTAACTACTGAAGGCGGCTTTACAGATTTTACAAGTGACGTCGAGGATTTAGCTGGCGCTGATTTATGGGTTTGTCCCACAGCTGATAACTCCTCCTTTATGGAATCAACTGGAGCCTCCAGCACAGCCCGTCGGGGTGTGTCTACAGTAGATTCTGAATCAGAGGATGAAGTAGCTGTAAGAACATCCATATCATAAAGAAGATTATCCATTCTCATTGGGAATTCATGGGTATTTGAGACTGCAGGTGAATAGGAGGACCTCCGGAGCCTAGTGAGCTGTGTGACCTGCGCATTTCACAACAAATGGACGGTATCATATACAACAATTTTTAGTACTGAAGTTGTTAACAGGAACATTTCGGGATGAAAACTGAAAGTAAGGCTCTGGAACGTGTAAAGGTTGGTTAAGATTTTAACCTTTTCTTCTAACACCAGAACGTCTCTCTTGAGCTTCTTAATTATTGTCTTCTTCCTGCGAATAATCTCTTCAAGCTCCGTTTCACGCTGTTAAAGAAAGAAGAAACATCTCTTTGTGTAAGTCATATGAAAAATTTAAGGGTGTTTGAAAAAGTATAGGAATCCACAGTTACTTTTGAGCCAGCTTTGTTGGTCAGCTGAAGAAATGAAGTTAAGTCCTTTATTGTTGCATCTTTCTCCTGACACTCCTTTCTGAGAGAAAGCATGTCTTGGTCGAGCGAAAGACTATCAAACTGCAATAAACATTTAAACCAAGTGGTTATTCATTTGCAACAAAACCAACCAAGATCCACCACAAAGATCGCTTCACCAAAATTTCACATATTCTTTACATACATGGGTTTCTGCAGCTGAAGTGACACTAGAACACCAATCTGACATATAAGACATACGCCTTTCCTCTGGCTCTGCATCAACCACCAGATTTGTGGGAGCTTTATCCTAAACAGTATAATCAGTGAAAACATCATCAATATAGGTTCATATAAAGATGCTCAGTGATTTCAATGATTGCCATAGAAAATCAAAGAGCAAACACACAGACACACACCTGTATAGCAGCAGGTGACGAGTGATGATGCTGATCACATAGCCAGCAGCCACAATCTACAAAAGTAATCTTCTCAGATCCAAACTTTTCTTTAGGAGTTGAACGTAGATCATCATGATCTAAGACCTTGGATACAGTTCCAGACTGATCCTTGACAAGATTTAGCTCTTGACACATATCATCAAGCTTTTGTTGCATGCTTGAAAGAACCTGATCCTGAAAAATCCACACTTGCAGTTAAAGAACACACCAATTTTACAGTTAGAATCTCTCTTAAGACTTCATCAGTGCTAAGTCAACACTTAGAACACTTAAAACATCGAGATCTAGAGAGATAGACACACAAAAGTTGTATGCTTTAAACACTAATGTATGAAATTCAAAAACAAGTAACGGAAATGGAAGCATAATTGAACAAAATCATGAACTAAACCAAAGTGCTTTAAATTAAACAATCCGAGAAAAACGCTAACTTTTTAATCAGATAAATTTGTCAAAGTAACGAAATTTCTCAAATCTCTAGCAGATATGTAAGAGAATCAACAACACTCACCCTGAGATCAACCGATTTCTGGAGCTGTCGAATGAGACCATTCTTCTTCGACTCAGCGGCGGCGACACCAATGACCGCCACAATCAGGAATCTCTGGTAAGGCGTGAAGAGCTCCCACGCGAGGGCTTCCTCTCGGCTCAATCCGCCGCCGATTGATCGCGCTGAGCTGGCTTCATCGGAATTGACGAGTAAACCCTGGAGAGAGATGTAAGCTAGCGGCCGAGATGATTGTAGTGGTTGGCAACGACGGGTAAAGTGAGTTGACAGAGGCGGAACGAGAGAGGAGGAGAAAGGGGCGAGGTGGACTGACGCGGGCGGAATTGGGTAAGAAGACCCAGGATCCGGATCCGACCCGGGTTCATCCATGGAAGAGCCGAAAAGGAATGGAGGAATCAACGAGGTTAGAGAAAACGGTTCGTCTTCAAAGAGAGGTTTCAAATTCAATTCTTCATAGAGAGATTTTTCAATTTTCAATATTGGGTTCTTGGATTTTTCTGTAATTTCAAAAATTGAGATTTCCCCCGTAAGGAAGGTGATGCGACGTTAGCGTTGAGCATCATCATCTGGGTCTACATTGATGAAGCCACGTATACATTGAAGCCTTTTTGGTTAATTTTCCTTTTAGTGTCTCTACTACAGTAGTAATTTTTTTCACTAACACATTTTTCTGGTGTTTTGATTTTAAAAGTTTTGTTTCATTATTTGAAAAAATAGCTAATTGAACTTTGATTTTATTCAAAGAAAAATATGTTTTTCTTCTTATTTGTCTTTTTTTTTTAATTAAGACTAATCGAGTAGTTCTAGACAGAAAATCATACTTTTGTTTGTCGTTTTCGGACTTAAAAAAGGCACAATATTATTTGAAAGACACTAGTCCAAAACTCACTTGGTCTCTATTTATTTTTTTGTATGAATTGGTCTCTATTTATTTTTTTGTATGAATTGGTCTCTATTTATTTGCATGGCACGTCAATACTTAAACCTTTATTCGCTGGTCTCTCATGTGCTTGCTTGCTCATGCATTACTTACTTACGGGAACCACATTTTTTTCTCTTAAGTCTTCTTATCTTACCTAGGTATTTGATTGAACCATTATTTTGCAAGCATTAATACACGATTCGATTACACGTGAACGTCTTAGTGATATAGACACGTGCTATGTCCTAGTCCTTGGGAAATCGACCTTTCTTTTTGTTTTTCTTCGTTTTCTGAACTATGAAAAGTCGTCTGTTGTTGACTCCCCTGCATACTACCTACATTTTTTGAGTATTCTTTTATAGTATTTACTATCTTTCCCAAAAATCTCTCATCTTTGCGCAATCAAACCACAGTTTACTAAATTTAGTTAGTAGATTACACAATAGCCGACAAAAAGTAGTGTTTTGTGGATGATCATTGCATAAACTTAGTTGTATAATGATTGTTGTCATAATCCATGTTAGTATATATTTCAGTCTACTGAACTACGAATCATTTTATAAAGTTCTAAATATGCATTAGACGGCAAACGAACGTCAAGCACATGCGGGCACATGAGTTGTCTTTTGAATAATCAAAGCCATTAAGGTCTTCCTTCTGACTTGACACTTCCTTCTAAACCTCTTGATACAATTAAACAACTGCCAAATCTCTGAATCACGTTTACTCTAGCTGTCTCCAAACCTGTCCTGTTTTTAGGGCCGACCATGAATTTTCAGATATCTCTAGGATTATATGTTATTATGTTAAACAATGTCGGTTGAAATATGAAAATGAATAGCGACTACAAAAAAAAATGTTTGATGAAAAAATATGTTGATTTCTGTTTATTTATCGATGACAAATTGAACAAGACAAAAAACCTTTACATATTTGAGTCGTTGCTCGGCAGATTTTGTACATTAGAGAGTAACAAAAACAAGCATATAATAATCAAAACCGTAGCGGAAAATGCCAATCAAAGGGAAAATTATGGTTCGTGGAGGCTGATAATGTGCGCAACGTGGAGGCAATTTGCAATGATTAGGATTATGGATCATACTGTAGAAAAAATAACTAAAAGTTTACAAAAGATGTTCTTAATTATAATTCATTGACTCAAAAGTTGAACAAGAAAGACGAAAAATATAACATCTTTACACAAAAACGGTTGATATTTATGTACAAATTGATAACAAGGACAAAGATCACATGCTCATCTACAACGATAAGATCGAGATTGACAGTAAATTAAAAAATCATGCATCTATAGTGTGGACAAAATGAGAAACTAGGATAATATTAACTGCTGTAGCTTAAGCCACTTGAATATTGTCTTCATTATTAGGTCCAAAAATTCAATGCAAAGACAAGATTTTTTAAAAAAACTAATAGATGTATTGCCACGATTGTTGTTTTGTGTATAGCTTTGTAATTCCAGTACGTATCCGAGTCCAGACTCCGGAGAGTCGAACCGAGAACAAGCCCAGACCTGATGACATGGATAGTATAACTGTACAAGCAGGCGACAGAAACAAACAAAACCATGTTATTAGTAATGAATAATGATCCAATCTTGACCACAAACATAAAAATATGAAAAATAAGAAGCATGCAAAGTACGTGACGTGGCAATCAATAAGAAGGTTCAACGAAGCAAGGTCTTTAACAAAAAAAGTAATACTTCGTCGTCTTTACGCCCATCAATATGTGACTATATAATAACACCATACAGTTAAGTCACACTTCCATGTCAACGTGCTTCAACCTATGCAAAAAAGCTCATAAACAGTTAAACACACACCACACAAAGATCCTTTATACTATGGATACTAAGAAATCGTTAATGATTCTATTGAGCAACGTCTTCGTTTGGCTCCTAGCCGCCACGGTGGTTCAATCTTGCTTACCATCCGATCGAGCCGCGCTTCTAGAGTTCCGAGCTAAGCTCAATGAGCCCTACATTGGAGTTTTCAACACTTGGAAAGGTCTAGACTGTTGCAACGGTTGGTACGGTGTCAGCTGCGATCCCAACACCCACCGAGTCGCCGGCATTACACTCCGTGGTGAATCCGAAGAACCTATTTTCCAAAAGGCGAAACGGAGCGGGCTAATGACCGGCTCCATTTCGCCCTCGATATGTAAACTCACTCGTCTCTCCGGCATCATCATCGCCGATTGGAAGGGAATCTCCGGTGGGATTCCTAGTTGCATTGAGAATCTTCCTTTCTTAAGACATTTAGATCTCGTCGGGAATAAAATCTCCGGCGTGATTCCGGTGAATATCGGGAAGTTACTGAGGCTTAAAGTGTTGAATCTAGCGGATAATTACTTATATGGTGTGATTCCTCCGTCGATCACGAGATTAACGAGTTTATCGCATTTGGATCTCAGGAATAACAATATCTCGGGAGTCATACCGCGAGATATTGGACGTTTAAAGATGGTGAGTCGTGTGCTTTTAAGCGGTAACAAAATCTCGGGTCAAATACCCGAATCTCTGACCCGGATCTACCGTCTCGCGGATCTTGAACTCTCGATGAACCGAATCACCGGTCCGATTCCGGCTTCGTTCGGCAGAATGTCGGTGCTCGCGACGCTTAACCTCGGCGGAAACTTAATCTCCGGCGAGATTCCGGGTACTCTAATGGCATCATCGATCTCGAATTTGAATCTGAGCGGGAACCTTATCACCGGACGGATACCAAACACGTTCGGGCCAAGATCGTACTTCACGGTGCTGGACCTCGCGAACAATCGTCTTCAGGGACCAATTCCGACCAGTATCGCGGCGGCGTCGTTTATCGGCCATCTTGACGTGAGCCATAACCATCTGTGTGGGAAGATTCCGACGGGATCTCCTTTTGATCATCTCGATGCGACGTCGTTTGCTTACAATGCTTGTCTCTGTGGAAAGCCTCTTGGGAATTGTAAGAAATAATTAATTAATTATTGTTTAAAGATTTGAGGGAATCAAATACAGTAGTAGTTTGATTATGAATATTTTTACTATAATTTTCACGTTATCATCTAACTATAATCAATATTTTTATGTGGTGTTTTTTTTTAGTCTTCTTGTTATCTGCCTTGATTCTCAAAACCATCATCAATGAGACACCTCGAAACAAATGAAATGAGCTAGTAGGATAAACTTTTAAAATAAAAGTTTAGAAATGTGGACCGACCACGCTTGTGAGATCAGTAAAACCCGGGATACATCCAATAATTTGGCCTGACTAGACTTTAAGAAACCCAGTTTTGTAGGACCTGATTGGTATATATATCATGGTATGGATATTCAATTCATCTCCTTACATATATAATTCAAAACAGTTTGGTTAGCAAGTGTAACACTTTAAAGATATGTGTTTCATGTATCTCTTTGTTTTTGTGTGTTACACTTAAAGATTGGTTTATTCTCTTAACTTGATTTCGCTTTTTTTATAAAATCGTTTAGTCTAAAGTTAAGGTTTCATTCAAATTTCAATTAGTCCATTTTTCGTAGTAATGTTAAACCAGAATTTGTGTCGATGTCCCTTTTTTTCTTTCACACCGTGTCTATGCATGTCCAATTAGGTGGTTTACATAACAAAACCATATTTAAGTGGACTGTATAGGCCAAATTGGTTTGGTGGGCTTGTATACCGTGCATGAGTCGTCTTTTAGAAGAATGGATAGATATATTCACAACTAGATTACATAAATTCATTCATTAATGGTATATTAATGTTTTAGATTCTGATATAAGTGTTATGATGGCTTGCCCGGTAAAGATCATCACAACTATATATATAGTAGACAATTTTTTTCTTAGAAGAACAACAAGATACGACACAAGGAACACGTGAATACCGTGCGGGAGAGAATTGCACAACAAGTATATGATGCTTCTAAGTCACTTTTATTATTAACAGGAATACCGTACATGAGAGAATTTCATAACAAAGTTTTGTGTGCAAAGTATGCTTTTAAGCATCCTATTAGTAAAAAATATTTATGGTTAATATTGGTGATTGTGAAATTTGTAGTAAGTTCCAACCTAACTGGTTAGATAAACGTATAACATATGCTTAAAAAGTTTTTCATCAAGTGTCGAGGAAGACTTTTCCCTCAAAGTATTATTGGGTGAGCTTAATTTCTAATTTCTACAATAATTTCATATTACTCATCGATTAACTATTAGTTATTCCCATTATTGTAGGGTAAATATATTTATATCGCTGAAAAGATAAAAAGATTTGGTCTTAGAGTCTTACTCAGTCTTAGTCTTACTAACAAGTTAACAATCCACCTTCCAGTATATCTGTGCAATAAGTTTCTTAGCAAGATTTAGTCTCACCAACTCGAAGCATTGGAATTGATAAAGACATATTTTGACATAGTTTTGAACTATTAATATGAGTTTAAATAAAAACAATTTTTCAACACCAATTAGAGTTGAGTTTTGTATATACATATGCATAATTTTTATCGATCTGACACACAAAATCTTAAGTCCTATACAGTATATATACATAGCTTATCAACTGAACAAGGTTACTGTCTTTGTGGCAATCCAACAAGGTACAACAACATAATATTTACGTTTTCTCACTATAACGTTTCTTTAATGTTTTTTTTTAGATATTCATTAGGTTTATTTTTAATAATATCATCCATTTTTCCTTTTTCCCACAAATACCAGATCTTTTTAGGAACATTGTATTTATGGTACATATATTTAAAAAACGGATCTAAGATCGGATCCAAATATCTTAGTTTAAACGTTAAGGTAAGCCCATAAACGCTAAAGACATTAAATTCTAGATCGGTTTTCTGATCTTAGATATTTGGTTTCACCTCTAATTTCTAGATGGAGTATATGGCAGTGTACAAGTGGGAAGAAAGTAACTCGCGCGTGTATCCTTTGCACTATACTAGAAAAAGAGACCTTTTGGTGGTTACTTAAGATTGACGAGTAGATGATGCTCCTTTCTTGAAGCAACAAACTAAACTCGTCATCATAAATATTCGGGTCATTACCTTAACTTTTTAACAACCACTGATTTCCCAAAAAAAAAATATATATATTTAGAGATAATTGATCTAATAATTGACGGCAGCAAATATCTTAGCCACCTATGAAAATAAAAAAATTGTCGGAATGTCGAAAAGACTTCTTCTTAAAATTGACAAATGACGAGTACATCTAACTAACCATCCATCACTCTTCATAAATACACAACTACTCTTTCAGTGTATATCTTCTATTTTATATTTTTTGGTTAAATATTTTATTCTTTTGTTTACTTCTACATTCATAGTAATTGCACTTCAGGGAATATCGATATAGATAGTGTTTTGAAGATTATTTAGGAAGAACAAATCTGTTTTTAGTTTAGTAAAGAAACACTAAACTGACGTATTAGGAGTATTAATAGAAAAAGAGAATTAACCTATCAAATATTTTTATAACTGACGTCGCAGAGGGAAATTACGCCTCATAATTTAGCATCGGACAATTGAATGTAATTTGTACAAAGAGAATCTCTCTTGAAAAAGAGAAGACATAAACCTCAGAAGGAATATATGACAGTACAAACAGTAAATGATTCTCTTACCAACTTTAGATATATAATCGGGTTGAAATAGTATTCACTTGTCATAAGAAGGAAACAGTATACCAAATGGCAAATAGACATGACAGAAGAGTGAAGACTATTTCAGCCCAATTATATAAATTGAGTTATAGAATCATTTATATTTTTTCTTTGTAAATGCATATGGTATAATACTAGAATAGTGTAGTCTTAGTTTTGCATGCTACAAAACCAATGATATTTTTGTTAACAATAAACAAACGGATCTTAATATGGGAAGCGTCAGTGACTCTTATCACTAATCACTATACAATAATGTATTTGTTTATTAATACAAGCTCTTTTTTTTTGTTTGCATTCTATTTTACAAATGAGTTTCTTTGATAGATTTGTCTTCATTTACATGTCATCCTTTTCACTATCTCTTTTTATTTTGTCTTCTTCGAGCATCGAAGATATCAAGCATTAAAAAAAATTAAAAAAATCAAGCAATTGCAATCACATCGTTCTCAGTTCTCACACAACCAATATACACGTATTAAATAATGATAATGCTTTTTTATATACAAAAATAGAAAACTAGAATTACATGTCATCCTATTCCAGTTACTTGTATAACCAGCTCTGTTCCAAATTCCAATCATTCAAGCAGATATTTAAAAATACGATAAAATTTATTTAAGCAAAAAGAAACAATTAAAGAAGTTTTAAAATAATGTTAAAAACAGTTAAGAATGTTACAACTTTAGTTTATAAAAAACAGTTAAGATTTTAACACACCAAAAGCACATATATTAGTATATTTATTTAGACGGCATACAAATTAATTCTTTTATTTAATTTTAATTTTTCTGTCTCACCTTCAACCTTTTTTCCCCCAAAACTCCTCTATTCTTCTCTGCAACGAAAAACCTCTTCTTCTTCTCTCTCTCTCTCCATTATCGTTTATTAGCGATAAAAAGGGAACTTTTTAAGTAAAATTATCTCTTAAATCTATAAAAATAATACTAATCGTCTCTGCACGTTTGGTGATGGTGTTTAGTTGGCAATTCTACATCTCGAGGAGAACCAGAAACAGCTCACTGATCTCATCTCTCTCTCGAAAGAGTTCTTTTTCCTTTTTACAGAGTCAATACAACAAAACCAGATAACAGAGATAGCGACAAACCATCCGTGACCTCCTCTGTTTTTATCCAAATCTCTCTTTCACGTGATTGAATTCTTTGTTTTGGTAGACATTGCTTAATTCTTTGGAACTCTTTTGCTTTATATATATCTCTTCTCACATTATTCTCTTCTTCATATTCAAATCTCCTCTCCCTAACTGTTTTATGGGTTTTGAGTCTTTAATTTCATTCTCTTCTTGAAATCTGATTTGGGGGATCTCTTTACTTACACTTTTTTTTTTTGTGATTTTTGTTTAAGACAAAAGAGTTTGGATACGATGAAGTATGGTCTTATCATAACCATTGCTTTACTACTATACACAAGCTTTGTTCTTGTTTGTGTAGCGAAAGAGTGTACGAACGTTCCTACGCAGCTCTCATCGCATACTTTCCGCAACGAGCTTCTTCAATCAAAGAACGAAACTTTGAAGACAGAGTTGTTCTCTCATTACCATTTAACACCAACTGATGACGCTGCTTGGTCTACTTTGTTGCCAAGGAAGATGTTGAAAGAAGAGGCTGATGAATTTGCTTGGACTATGTTGTATAGGAAGTTCAAGGACTCTAATTCCTCTGGTAACTTTCTTAAAGAAGTCTCTTTGCACGACGTTAGGCTGGATCCAAACTCCTTTCATGGGAGGGCTCAGCAGACAAACCTTGAGTATCTATTGATGTTGGATGTTGATGGTTTGGCCTGGAGCTTCCGTAAAGAAGCTGGTCTTGATGCTCCTGGAGATTACTATGGAGGATGGGAGAAACCAGATAGTGAACTCCGTGGCCATTTTGTCGGTATAAAGCTCTGCCTTTTTCCTCAATTCAATATAGTTTCCTAATCAATGTTGTTGATAGTATGCAAGAAAAGGTCTTGAGATTTGATGTTTGGTATATAGATTGCATAGACCCTTAAAGGGTTATACACTTAAGATTGCATAGGCCCTTAAAGGAACCACCTTTTGACATTGCATAGACCCTTAAAAGGATTATACACTTAAGATTGCATAGAACATTAAAGGAACAACCTTTTACTAGATGGCTTATAAAATCTGTCTGTTTGTTTTTGAAGGTCACTATTTGAGTGCAACAGCTTATATGTGGGCAAGTACTCATAATGATACTCTCAAGGAGAAAATGTCAGCTCTTGTCTCAGCTCTATCGGAATGCCAGCAGAAATTTGGCACAGGATATCTCTCTGCTTTTCCTTCCAGTTTTTTCGACCGTTTTGAAGCTATAACACCTGTTTGGGCTCCTTACTACACCATTCACAAGGTGAAACTCGATTGAGTCATATATATGATGCCAGATATTATGCTTGTGTTTTGCAAAAGAGGTTCAATGTTGTCTTAATTTTGACAGATTCTAGCCGGTCTGGTGGATCAATACAAGTTGGCTGGGAACAGTCAAGCTTTAAAGATGGCAACAGGGATGGCTGATTACTTCTATGGTCGTGTTCGTAATGTGATAAGGAAGTACAGCGTTGAACGACATTGGCAATCACTAAACGAAGAGACTGGTGGCATGAATGATGTTCTCTATCAGCTATACAGCATTACTGTGGGTTAAAATCTTATCAGACTCTCTAACAAACAACCTTATATTTCTATCTAGCTTTGTGTCATTTCCTAGTTTATTGGACTCTGCAGGGAGATTCCAAGTATTTGTTGCTCGCACATCTCTTTGACAAGCCTTGCTTTCTTGGAGTCCTCGCGATTCAGGTAGTTTACTTGATGATTAGCTTGAAGAGATGTGAATGGTAAGGTCACATAACTTGTTCTGCTTTCTTTTCAGGCCGATGATATAAGTGGATTCCATTCTAACACACATATTCCCATCGTCGTTGGATCCCAACAACGGTATGAAATCACTGGTGATCCACTCCATAAGGTATTGAACCGTGGAAAAGTGTGACATTTTTATTAAAGAAAATATTGGTTCTCTTGATTCTGAAATCTGCTTTTCCAGGAAATTTCAATGTTCTTTATGGACATCGTTAATGCTTCTCACAGCTATGCAACTGGAGGAACATCAGTCAGTGAGTTCTGGTAATATCATTACCTGACTTCAGAGTTTGGTTCATTGTAACATGACTTTTTGTTTTAAGTTCTAACCATGATTTGGGAATGGTAACATTAGGCAAGATCCAAAGAGAATGGCGACTACACTGCACACTGAAAACGAGGAATCATGTACTACTTATAACATGCTCAAGGTAGGATTTTAAACTTTCCCCCCTCTTTTCATTTGCTCAACGTAACATATTAACACTTGTACAACTTCAGGTCTCTAGGAATCTGTTCAGATGGACAAAAGAGGTTAGCTATGCAGACTATTACGAGCGCGCTTTGACCAACGGTGTGCTCGGAATTCAAAGAGGAACCCAACCCGGACGGATGATCTACATGCTCCCATTAGGTAAAGGTGTTTCTAAGGCTGTGACTTATCACGGTTGGGGAACACCGTATGATTCCTTCTGGTGTTGCTATGGCACTGGTAAACTTTTAACCACAATCATCTGGTTTTCTACTTCTTTTTTTTTGTTACAAAACTAGAGGGTAATTTTTGTTTTGTTTATTTCCACAGGAATTGAATCCTTCTCAAAACTGGGAGATTCCATTTATTTTCAAGAAGATGGTGAATCTCCTGCTCTTTATGTCATCCAATATATATCAAGCTCACTTGATTGGAAATCTGCTGGTCTTTCGATATCTCAGAAAGTTAAACCCGTAGTGTCATGGGATCCGTACATGCGCGTGACATTCACTCTTTCTTCTTCCAAAGAGGTAAATTTTTGCAGAACTTGATGCAACCTGTTCCATTGAACAAAGAGTCTAATGGATCCAATTTTCTTGAAGGGAATGGCAAAGGAGTCGACTTTGAATCTAAGAATTCCTGTTTGGACAAAAGGTGCCAAAGTATCTTTGAATGGGCAACCCTTAAAAGTACCAGCTTCAGGTGATTTGAGCATTGTGTATTGTTACCTTTATAGATCACCGGAATTAAACAAAAAACTAATAAACATTGGTTTTTTGGTTGTCAAAAGCAGAACTCGCTTGACTGTTAGTCTGTTACAGTCTCTAGTTTGTAAAACTAAGAATCATATTGGACCTGTCATTTTCTTTGCAGGTAATTTCTTATCAATCAAACAGAACTGGAAATCTGGCGATCAAATAACAATGGAGCTACCAATGAGTATCAGAACCGAAGCTATAAAAGGTAACACAATTACACTGTGTAGAGTTTGTTAAGTTAAAATGGTTCTTGATCATTGTGTATAAATTGTATGCAACTCTGTTTTGACAAAGCAATAACAACAGAAACTGATTTTTACAATATTTTGTGATTATTTCAGATGATCGTCCGGAGTACGCATCTCTTCAAGCCATACTCTATGGTCCCTACTTGTTAGCCGGACATATGAGCAGGGACTGGAGCATCACAACTCAGGCTAAAGCTGGGAAATGGATAACCCCTATACCTGAAACTTATAACAGTCACCTTGTCACACTCTCACAACAATCCGGAAACATATCTTACGTGTTGTCAAATACCAACCAAACCATCACAATGAGGGTATCATCCGAGCCAGGGACACAAGATGCCGTTGCGGCGACTTTCAGACTCGTGACTGCAGATAATTCTAAACCACGGATATCGGGTCCAGAGGCACTAATTGGAAGCCTGGTCATGCTTGAGCCGTTTGATTTCCCTGGCATGATTGTAAAGCAAGCAACTGATAGCTCCCTCACGGTTCAAGTTTCTTCTCCTAGTGACAAAGGAGCTTCTAGCTTTCGGTTAGTATCTGGAGTTGATGGGAAGCCAGGAAGCGTTTCGTTAAGACTAGAGAGCAAAAAGGGTTGTTTTGTGTACAGCGATCAAACACTAAAGCAGGGGACGAAACTAAGGCTTGAATGTGGTTCGGATGCGACTGATGAGAAGTTTAAACAGGCAGCAAGCTTTAGTTTAAAGACAGGAATGAATCAATACAATCCAATGAGTTTCGTGATGAGTGGAACACAGAGGAACTTTGTGTTATCGCCATTGTTTAGCTTAAGAGATGAAACATACAATGTGTACTTCAGTGTGCAAACTTGAAGAAAGAAACACTTAAAAACTCCTTTTAAGTACATTGGGAGGAAAAATAAGAAAAAGTCTCATTTGAAACATAGACATGTGTTTAGATGTTTAGCCTCTTAGGTGGTTTATGACTTTTGTGTGTTTGCAATTTCATCTAAAAATGTATGTTGCTGTTACATCAAATATAGACAAATGTGTTTTTATAAATTGTGCTAACGATTAATCCATGTCTTTCTTTATATTCTCATTGTGTAGAAATAAAATGTTGAAAACATAATAATGTTTGCAGACAGAAAGTATATTCGGCTGTGCAATGAAACAAAGCAGTAGACAAAAAAACAAACAAGTGCTACAAACATTGATTTCTTTCAATCAATACACTCAACCTTAAATGCATTACTAAAAACTAAACTATTACGAGTAAGTGAAGAAAAGATAAACTAATAAAAGTTGGTAGAGAAAGAGAGAGTAAACTTGGAAGTGGCAAATAGAAAAGTAAAAGATGAATAAAAAAGAAAAGAAGAGGTCAAAAGTGTAGGTCCACTAAAAAGCAGCAGATCTTAGCACACCCACATGTCCCCATATATTCTATTTCTACTGTACACTCTCTTCTTCTTCTTCACCTCACTAAAGCTCACTACTCTTCTTCGAAATCTCATTTTCAACATCTTCACTTTCTTCTAAACTTTGCATAACAAAAAAGAATGTATTTCCAAGTTATTTTCTCTATTCTTCATTAGATCCCCTAAGGTACATTACCATGTCTGAATTTTTCTATTGGTTTTTGTATTTGTTTGATATTTATATTAGGTGTAGTTGTTGTGTTGTTTTGATCAGTAGCTCAAGTAACAGCGACAGTGGAGAATAAAAGACATTACTACAAAACATTTCTTGTGGGGTTTAACTGTCTCAGCTAGATCTTCATGTTTACTCTTCTTTTATTTTAAAAGTAAATGACGTTTTTTCTTTTCTTTTCTAAAATGTTCACTTTCGAGTTTTGTTTGGATCAGATTTGAAGAAAGCCAAGAGAGGTTGCTCTAATTTTATTGTAGAAAAAGTTAAATACATTTTTTTGGGGAATCTTTTTTTATAGGAAAATGTCTGCTTTGGTAGATTGGTAGCTGCTTGTTTGGTGAGAAAACTACAACAAGAGTCCTAAATAACATTTAAATATATATTAAAAACATTTCCACTTTTATAAACATTTTCTCAGCAGAGTGTAGATCTCAAACTCCTTACTTATTCATTTGATTTTGATTCGAGAGATGTCGATGTTACTAACATGTTGTAGCCATTGTAGGTAAACTGTTAAAATCTCTCTGATTCATTTGTTGCTGTGTTTTGTTTCTTTTTTACCAGAAGGGTTGTCTTAAGATAACAGAACCAAGCAGCTTCCCCTGAAACTGCTTCTTATTACAAGTTCTTGGATCTCAAGAGACGGATTCTTTGTAACAGAATTGCAGAAGTTTTCAAGATGCAGAAACCTGGCCAAAACATAGAATTTGCCCTGAAGGAGACTTCACCAAAGATTGGTGCAGGAGCAGTGACAGGTGATAAACTCTCCTGCACTTATGATTTGGTTGAGCAGATGCATTACCTTTACGTTCGGGTTGTGAAGGCGAAGGAATTACCGGGGAAAGATGTGACCGGTAGTTGTGATCCATATGTGGAAGTGAAGCTCGGAAACTACAGAGGGATGACTAAGCATTTCGAGAAGAAGTCGAATCCAGAGTGGAAGCAAGTTTTTGCGTTTTCAAAGGAGAGGATCCAAGCATCAATCTTGGAGGTTGTAGTTAAAGACAAAGATGTGGTGTTGGATGATTTAATTGGTAGAATCATGTTTGATCTTAATGAGATTCCTAAGCGAGTTCCGCCTGATAGTCCATTGGCTCCTCAGTGGTATAGGTTGGAGGATCGACATGGGCGTAAGGTTAAAGGAGAGCTTATGTTAGCTGTTTGGATGGGGACACAAGCCGATGAAGCTTTCTCTGATGCTTGGCATTCAGATGCAGCCTCGGTTGGACCTGAGGGTGTGACGCATATCCGTTCAAAGGTTTATCTTTCGCCAAAGCTTTGGTATGTGAGGGTCAATGTAATTGAGGCTCAAGATTTGATACCTCATGATAAAACCAAGTTCCCTGAGGTTTACGTGAAAGCAATGCTCGGAAACCAGACTCTGAGAACACGTATTTCTCAGACCAAAACATTGAATCCGATGTGGAATGAAGATCTGATGTTTGTTGTTGCTGAGCCTTTTGAGGAGGCGTTGATTCTCGCGGTGGAAGATAGGGTTGCACCGAACAAAGATGAAACGTTAGGCAGGTGTGCAATCCCGTTGCAGAATGTCCAAAGAAGGTTAGACCATAGGCCGCTTAACTCAAGGTGGTTCAACCTGGAGAAACATATTATGGTGGAAGGAGAGAAAAAAGAGATCAAATTCGCAAGCAGGATTCATCTAAGAATCTTTCTTGAAGGTGGGTACCATGTTCTTGATGAATCAACTCACTACAGCAGCGACCTAAGGCCAACCGCAAAACAGCTATGGAAACCAAGCATCGGACTGCTTGAAGTAGGGATCATAAGTGCGCACGGACTGATGCCAATGAAGACGAAAGATGGGAAGGGGACAACAGATGCATATTGTGTGGCTAAGTATGGGCAGAAATGGATCAGAACAAGAACAATTGTCGATAGTTTTACGCCTAAATGGAACGAGCAGTACACATGGGAAGTGTTTGATACCTGCACTGTCATAACTTTTGGAGCATTCGACAACGGACACATTCCAGGTGGAAGCGGAAAAGATTTGAGAATCGGGAAAGTGAGAATCCGTCTCTCGACCCTTGAAGCTGACCGTATCTACACACATTCATATCCGCTGCTCGTCTTTCATCCTTCCGGGATCAAGAAGACAGGTGAAATACAGTTAGCCGTGCGGTTCACTTGCCTATCTCTCATCAACATGCTTCATATGTATTCTCAGCCATTACTACCCAAAATGCATTACATCCACCCGTTATCGGTTCTCCAGCTCGACAGCCTGCGACACCAGGCGATGAACATTGTCTCGGCGAGGCTGAACCGCGCAGAGCCACCTCTTCGCAAAGAGATTGTAGAGTACATGCTCGATGTTGACTCCCATATGTGGAGCATGAGGAGGAGTAAAGCTAACTTCTTCAGAATCATGAATGTTCTGAGTGGGCTCATTGCTGTTGGAAAATGGTTTGATCAGATCTGCAACTGGAGAAACCCAATAACCACAATTCTCATTCATGTTCTTTTCATTATCTTAGTTCTCTACCCGGAACTCATCCTCCCAACGGTTTTCTTGTACCTTTTCTTGATCGGGATCTGGAATTTCCGGTGGAGACCAAGGCACCCGCCACACATGGACACAAGGTTGTCCCACGCAGACGCTGTCCACCCCGATGAGCTTGATGAAGAGTTTGATACTTTCCCAACTTCCCGATCCTCTGAGATTGTGAGGATGCGATATGACCGGCTCAGAAGCATAGGAGGACGGGTTCAGACCGTGATAGGCGATCTAGCGACACAGGGAGAGCGGTTTTTATCGCTGCTGAGCTGGCGAGACCCGAGGGCAACCACATTGTTTGTGCTCTTCTGTCTCATAGCTGCTATCGTGTTGTATGTTACACCGTTTCAGGTTGTTGCACTTCTTGCTGGGATCTATGTGCTGAGGCATCCAAGGTTCAGGCACAAGCTACCCTCTGTGCCCCTCAATCTCTTCAGGAGGCTACCTGCAAGATCTGACAGTCTATTATAGATATGTTATCTACATCTGCTTTTATAAATCGTTTGTTGGATTTCTAAAAACTTTGGGTTTAATGCTTAATTCGGTCTTTTCAATGGAGATTAAGTTATTAACTGCAACATCACAAGACGGTCAGGAAATCCAAATACATATATCCATCAAACTCAAAATCTTTGGTTGAGTTTCTATTTCTCATCTGTAATTCTGATTCCACCTAACTTTTTGTCCAATGAATAACAGTTTCTGCCCAGACTATAGGGTTCGATTTAATTCACAAACATATGAGCCAACCCTTGAGGTGCTCTCCCGCCAACCTTAATGTTGTGGAGCAGTTGCTGCAGCCATTGCATTGCAGGTGGATCATCCTGTCAAAGTAACCAAGACGATTAGCTAAAAACAGTGAAGTCCCAAGTACCAAAAGAACTGAGACAGGATTACAATAAACTGACAGATAACAATTTGGTATCAGTATCAGTAATAATTGGTTATGATGCTATCAAGAGATATGACACTTACATAGAGACAACCGCTGAAGGTAGCATCCCTCAGAAGATCTGGAAGGCAACTTCCAAGTGCATCGCATGCTCTGAATGTCATCAATAAGTGTATTGTGTAAGCACGATTGTATAATATTTGTTTTCAAATGAAGAAAAAGGGGTAATTATTAAACCTGGGGTTATCTGTCAAACGGAGATAGCAGCGTATGATGTGCTTTAGTAGCCTAGGAGATGGCCCTTCTGCAAGTGAAGTAACCATATTTCCCAAAACCCGACCCAGAGCAAAGAATCTTTCCGCTGTGGTGCACATGTACTCAAGCCCAACATCGTCCAGCAAAACTTTCTGAACAATGAAAGTAGCAACCTGACATAAACCGGTTCGAACAAATCAATCAGATGAATTGCGAAAGCCTAAAACCAATCAGAAACATCAACTGCAGAAGAAACTTATACAAGTCCTTTGTGTGAAGCAACGATTTCAGATCTTTGCAACTGGCTGTATAAATGATAGGAAACTTGATATACATGTAAATCTAAAGATAAGCATCTGAATTAGACAAACTTACAGTCTTTGATAACTCGCTGCCATTTTCCATTGTCCGGAGGCACAATGGGACAATTTCAGTTTGAAGAAGGAATCTTATCACTTCACTATCATCAACCTACCAAACCAAAAGAACAATGTTGCAACACCAATATCACTAATGAGTAATGATTCTATGATGTCTTAACAGTATCTACTCAAAGGTCTTAGCATGCTAAAATCGTTGTTTCTCAAATCAACACAATATATATTTACCAGGAAAATGTTGTATTTATTAGTCAAACAGTTGTTAGCAAGTTCCTGTCTTGTTGGCATAAACACACTTTTTATAACTAGACGAGGAAACAAAACTCAAATATCAAGACATACCTTAACAAGTGCACCAATAACCCCCAAGCTAGTCAGTCGCAGGTACTCAAACGGTCTTGACTTGCTTGATGTATTCAAGAAAGCATACAGGTACAATGGCAGATGGGCTGTATTTTGAAAAGCAACAGACGTTAAGCTTTACGCATATTATAACCACACACATCTGATAAATGGGATCAATTAAAAAGGGGCCAACAAGGTGGCTCTTAAAACTAGTTTTGGTAGACGGGTTGGGTCATCAACTAATGTAATCTAAGTCGCTAACTTTAGTCACCGAGCAAACACCGAAAATATTTTAATGGGAACTATGGAAGAATTGTCTGTGGGCATAGGACTGTACCTTTCAAGAACAACATCCTCGTATCAGTATGAGAAGCAACACACTGGATGTAAGAAAAGAGAATCGAATCAATAAAAATTAGAGTCTACGAAATTGAACATACATATAAAAACGTTTGTAATTATCCCCCAAAAAAAGAAAGAGAAAATTGACAAGATTATATGGACCTGAAGAAGCGCAAGTGCATTGCAGACCCTGTTTGATTGAGCAGGAGTCATGGTTGGAGGAGATAGGACAGGGTAAACTGAGATAATCTCCTGAAAAGAGGAAAGAAACAAAGTGTCTAGATCTTAACCAATACAATGTACATCAAATCTCAAAAGTCAGATGTTAAAAGTAAAGCAGTAAATAGAGAAGCCATCAAGCAATAAATCATTTCCAGAATAAAGGAACAAGTGCCATATAATAACATGGAGAGGGTACCTGTAGAAGAGCAGGAATGGTACCAACAGAATGCCATAAAAGCGGCGCCAAATCTTGAAAGATCTCTCTCTTCTGAAAAAATGAAAAAAACGGGATTACTGACAGACATGAATTCCAGTGAGAAGACCAAATGCAGCAAAGTATATCCTGCTTAATGTATGAAATCAAAAGCAATGAGTTAAGTAAAACATCAACCTGAAAATCAGAACATCAAAACCAATTAATTTTTTTTAGTGAAGAATCCTCATACCAACTTAAATTTCTCACAACTGAGATCATGAATTTAGGAAAAATGGCTTAATCAGTGTTGAACTATTCCGATATCTAATCTCATCCCTTATTCATGCAAGGTCTACAATCTCAACAATAATCATACAAATTCCCTTAAAATTTGCCGCAAGGAAGAATTAAGAATCGCTAATCTAAAAGCATGTCTAAGATTCACCGGACTAAACAACCAAAGACATTCAAAATTCCATTCAATCGAACGCAGAAAACGAAGACCCAAACGATCAAAAAATTCCCGAGTAAGCGAGAATTCGGAAGAGAGAGAGAGATGACCTTGGACAACTCGTGAAGAGCATTTTCCCTGAGTTCGGGATTGCTGAGATCGAGAATCAACTGCTCGGCCGATAATAGCTTCCGATCGTTGCTGGAGGAAGAAGAAGCTCCTGAGAGAGCGACAGATTTCATGGAGAGCGAAGGAGGAAGATTAGCCATTTAGAGAGCCCTTTCACCGTTTCCACGCGCCGCACAGAGAATCACTCACTACCAAATGAGAGTGAAAGGAGAAGATGTATTTATAGGGCCAGGGGTCGTGTATGTCACGTGCCTCGCTAATTGCTCCGTTACGGGATTTGTTCAAATCTAAATCTCACGTGAATCTCACGTGCCTCGCACAACATGAAGATTTTATTTTGTGAAAGATAAATTTAGGGTGATCAACTATGGAGTTTATATGATTCACATTATGGCTTAGCTAATGTAAGAAAAAAAAAAAAAAATAGGTATATTGATATCAACAAACAAAAATTGGATTTTCGTTTGTTACGCCAAAATAAACTGAATTAACGGTTTATTGGTTTATCTTTATTTATCGCGCCAAAATAAACTAGTTTAACAGTAAAAAAAAAAATCGTATTGTTTAACATGAATTTCTCGTAAAATTCAAACAATTAGTGCCACTCGATGTAACCATTGCATTTCTAACATGCAAGGGGGATATGTGGCTCCAAAACTCAACAAGAAGTGGTCGCTACCAAAACTAATTAAGGTCAATTTGACTCCAATCTAGCATCAACAAATCCTTATGCAATCACAAAATAAGATTCATTACACCATATGGTCAAATAGTCCTTTGTAATTGTACATATACGTTAAAAAACTAAAATCAGACACAATTCTAACACCAATCTACACTATTTCCCATCCAAATAAATAATCGATTTCACCAAGTTTCTTCTAGAAACAAATGTCACTTTTATAGTTATGTTTTGATACCAACTTATAACATTCTAAACCCAAATTATATTGGGTAACAAATTAAATGCTCATCACAGGATGTGTTTACGTTTACTTACTATATGTTCAGTCAGAACTCTATTTCAGTTTCAAGTACATTTTTCTTGTGCAAAATTTGCTTACAATAAACTAGAAAATATATACTAAAGTTAGAAGGAACACAAATCTTAAAATGATAATTTGTAATAATAGGAGCTCCTAAAGCACCCACAAAATCTCGGCTGAAATTAATTTTAGAGGATGACAAAAATGCTTCAATTGAAATTCTATATACTAACGAAGTTAATCATTTTCAACCTGAAATAACAAAAATTAAACGTTCGGATAAACAAAACCAAAAACTGGAATGTGAAAAGCATTACAAACTAATATGTCAATTATGGAAACATGAAGATGTAAGAAAAATGAAAGGAATAAATCTATGGAGTAAAAGGAATGTGTTTATGATGAAGAGGGTCGGATCCAGTCGGAACTTGTCTTTCTTCAACTTCATTAGCTGTTCCTCCGTTAATCTCCTTCTCCTGTTTTCCAAACAAGAAATAAATATAATCATCTTGCATCAAAATCATAAATACAATCGAATATCAAATGCAAAGCTAGAAAACAAAAAAAGTATCATTTTTTGTGTGTGAAAACTAATTGTTCATTTCCTTCAAAAACAGTCGCTTTGTGTTTCTAGGAAGAAATTTTTTTACCTTTTTCATGGTTTTCGTAACTTGTGTTTCTCCTAACCAAAAGAAAGCTAGAAACAAAAAAGAACAAAGAGGAATCATCATGTTTTGAGCCAAAACGTTGAAGAAAGATGAGAATATGATAAGAATCACATGACACTTACATTTTGTAGAAGAAGAGTGGGCAAGTAGTGGGGAAGAAAGAAGAAGGATGACTAATATGATAAAAACGCTTCCTTTGTATTTCATCGCCGCCATTTCAAAAAACCTCTTCTGGTAAGAAGCTGAGTCTCGACAAGACAGTGACGAGAGGTGTCGTCGTCTAATAAAGTAGAAAGTTCCCGTTTTACCCTCGTCTTACAGCTTTCTTGGGGCAAATCCGTCATTTACGTTGTTCTCATTGGGATGAGATTTTAAGCTGTACGGACACAGATTACCGTTTCCAGGCTGGCTCGAACCAAGACAAATTATCATTCTCGTACAAATGCCGTGGTGACACTTATGGCCGCCACGTGTCTGCTTATTTGTCGAACCAAAGATTGTCACAATTTCCCGCCACTTTTTAAGTTGTCTTTGATCGAAGCAGAGGTAACTAGGGCTAATCCTTCTTTAGGGCTTTCCTTTTCAGCCCATTAATGAAAACCCGGTTGGGCTAGGCTAGGGTATTTTCTATTTGAAAGCTTTGTTCTCGCTGCTGTATCTTCTAAACCAAGCAAAAGGTGTTAGTCCCTTATCATCTTCATCCTCAAATTTTACTTCAAACCCAAGATCTTCGTAGACATGGATCAATCGAGGATCTTAAGGCAAAAGTCTTCAGAGATGACTGAATAATTAAACAGTCACTACATGATATATTACGTCTAATTTATAGATGAATACTGCAGTACAACGTTTTTTACCTAAGCGATATGTTGAAAACTAAATTACATTAACACTAATCAATCCATAAGATTCGCTAATTGTACCAACAAGTGGATGAAAAAGGGATAAATTAAGATCAGAGATGAATCATTCCTTGTTTCGAGAAGAGCGATCCTTCCGGTGTCCGCCAAGGATACGAGAGATCTGAAGACCTCTACTGAAAGCTTGATTAAAGAGCATACGCGTTTGGAACTCCGACACAAATGGAAACCACGCCAAGAACGCCACTGGCGTGAACAGCAACAGTCCCATTACTATCTCGTATCCACGAGCTAGTGTCCTCACTGATCCCCAGAATCCTGCTCTATGAACCACCGGCTTACACGCTTGCGCAATCTGCAACACACCAATTGTTAGTCTTGTTTTCATCCACACAACATTTCATTATAATCAGACTCCAACAAAAAGCTTTTTTCTTTACGTACCAAGAGCATCCCCCAACCTGTGGGCATAAAGGCGAGGATACACACAATTATGTCTTGTATCGTCATGTGAGCAAGCGTGATCAATATCACAATGATTGCGATAAACGTCATGAATATTAGCCCCTTTATCAACCGGAACATCAGCTGAAAACTCGCGCTGAATCTCCGCCTTCCAACCGAAACAGTCTGAGACAAACAAACAAACAAACAACAAAACACTTGAGACCATGACATTCCGGGAATTAACTAGAGATTGATGTATCAAGTAAACCCACCTTCATCACAAACAATATCAAGAAAATCACCAGCCATGATACTCCATAAACCTGAGTTGAGAAGGGATTCAGTGATTGGATAAGAAAATACCAACATCAATAGCTAATAGAAATGTTACATACCAGAAAGTTTTTAGTCCTCTCTGTTATCGTGAGATGATAAACAAGCCCATATTGATAGATAAAGAACCGCAGTGCCAGCAAAATCTCAACAACTATACCACGTTTTCCGGAATATCGGAGATGTTCTTGCTCTTCCTCCCACCAGGATTCCCAACTTTTTTCTGCCGGAACACCAATACCCCCGATGTTGTTTATCCATTTATTCCAATCAGTCCAATCATCAACAATTTTCTGCCACTCAAAACCAGAAGGATTGAAGAGGAAGGGAGCAAAAAGCCAAGTCCCGACCATGAACCACATAGATATGGTGATCAAAAGATATGCAAGGACGCCTCTGTAAGCACTTCCGAAAATTTGATACACAACGAGTAGCAGCATCATCTCAAGCCCCTTTACAAAATGGCTCCGGGAATACAGTCTGTAATTATCAGCAAATTTGGCATGAAAGACGACAAATCCTCTTCCTGTGGACCTGTACTTGGCACCGCCATGAAGTAACGTCCTCCCATAGTAGTGAGTCTTTGTCCCAAGAGAGAACGTAAAGAACACTGGCGCCAACTGAAGCTGCATCAGCACAAATTCACTCAAGGCAGTCCTAAAACCCCTCTCTAATCCAATTTCCATAAGCATAGGTAAAGCCATCAGGAAACCAATCTGGACAAAAGACTGTGAAGCCAGAGCTATTTGCAAAGGTGTATTGTCTCGGATGCCTTTCTGTGTACTTAAGCCTTGTTCGAGGCCACTCAAAACAAGATAGAGACGTCCATAAAGGAAGATATAGACAGTGAGAACAGTAATCTGTGAAAACAGTAGAAAATGAATCAGATCCGAACTAGCTGTGTGGCTTAACAAAAAAAGGAACGAAATAATACCAAGGTGCTGAAGTAAAAGCCGACAGTGGTGAAGTAACATGACATCATTCGGAAAAAGTCAAAACGGTGTCCAAGCCTGTAAATATCCCGACTTAATGTCTGCTCTCCATTGCCGTTAGCAATCTTGGCCTCAAACATAGATATCTGATTTAGACCGACATCTCTTCCTTTACCAACTTGTATGTATTCATGATGGGTAACATTTCCTTCACGAAGTGTAGAATTGAATCCTGCTCAATACAAAACACTAGCAATCCATCAGCGAGGACATCAATTAGAGTCTATGAAAGAAATAGCTAGTCCTCCATAAGAGTAGAATATACCTGCAAATATATCTTCACTGAGGTTGATTACCTTGGATGCTTTGCTAACACCACCTCTTGTTAGATGAAACAGTCTATCAAACACATCTGGATGACCATAATGGAAACGAACCCTATATTGGAGCAAGAGAGAATTTTGATTTGGGAATGATAACAAAGAAAATCATGTCCAATCATCACTACAGTTGATCTCAGAAAACACACTTACCTCAATGGGTTTGCCAATAATCTCTGACCAATGGTAACAAAACTAGTCTCTTGATTTGACATGAACCAAGCAAGGGAGGAAACACTGCGCAGGGCCAAACACCAAATGTTCTTAAAGATGACCAAATTTCATTGAGCAAAAGGGAAAATCCCAAAAATAGATGGAAATGCTAAAATACTCACGATCCAGTAAATATATGTTCCCTAAGTCCAAGAATGGATGGATGCCTAACACCATCATGCTTTGTAAGAAATTCTTGAAGCAAATTCCTCATCTTTAACGCTTCTTCCATGTAATTATCCTGAATAAAAATGGCATTATAAGAAACTTAACATCAACTTGAAGCATCGAAACAACTAGAAGGCTGAGCAAAAAGAACAAGTGCATACCTGATTCATATCGATTGTCTGTAAACCTTCTCCACGAGAAAAG